GAACATGCTAATTCATAATAAGGCCCGAGGAAACCTGGAAGACTTTTAATGCATGATCATGATTTCAAGTACAACTCCTGGGATCCAAGGTTTGTTCTAACCCTAGTCCTGTGACCATAGTCAAGTTTACCTTCCCAAACCCATTTTCTCATCTGCCGAATGCCCAGTTCAGGGTTATTGTAGGAAAGAAATGAGGTGCCTATCTTACAAACTGCTTAGCGCAATAGAAGCCGACAGTATGTGGGAGCTCTGATTTTTATTATTGCTATTATGAAAACTATCTTTACTATTACTCTTCCCATTATGGGATGGACAGACACCTGCAAAGGTGGGACAGAGTTGGCACTGTTGATGATGTACTTTGGCATCTGAAATGAAAGGAGTCGTGGGCTTACTTACTGCTGATCTCTAGGGGAGGTTTGGCAGCACACATGCCCAGACTTCATGAGTTCCTCATGCCTTAAATGAAGGAGATGCGGGAGGTATGAACAGCACCCAGAGGCAGGAAGCACAGCCTTGGTGATTGCACTTCTGATTCTCAAGTCCAGGGTCCAACGTGAGTGTACTTACACGGCCCAGGGGTAAGATGTTTGCAAATGAAACTGTCCCCCAAAATCCAGACCCCACTCTCAGCAGTTACAATTGCTCAACGGGTCAGAGCACCGGCTCAGGCTGAAAGGGAGGGACAGAGGAATGGAATGTTTCTCGGAGGAATTTGTGTTATTTTTTTGAGAGCAGACAGGGAGAACAGGATATCTTTCTTCATTTCCTCTCTGTAAATTTCTGAGGTTAGTAAGTGGGTAATTGTTACTCAGGAATAGCTGGGTGTGACCCAGATACAGGAGAGTCAGATCAGGGCAGGGCAGGGCAGGGCAGGGCCCTGTCAAGCAGATGAGGGCTTGCTTCTCACTGGAGTGGCCTTTGAAGTTGCTGTGGAGAGCTCCGTCTGGCCATCCCCACCCCCGCCACACAGAGCTTTCTCCATCCGAGGCTAGAATTGTAGGTGGCTGCATTTCTCGTGAGCTCCCCTTTCCCATGGGGCCATGAGCGCAGGCCCCTTAGGCCAGCAAATGGGTGGAAGGCACCTTGGGTTTGATAACTCTCTGCCCTGTGATTTGAACGAGCTGTTTGCACTCATGGTAACCCAGTAACAGTCAGGGCCTTCCTGTCTGGGTTTAGATAAGCAACCCGTCTTAAGAGCCAGTGAGGCTAGGAAGCCACACCAGGAAACATGAGGGCACGTTCCCTGGACCCAGAGCACTGCCCGGGGAGCTGGCCTGCGGGCCGGCATGCGGGAGGGCCGCCGCTACCAGGGAGACGCCACCACCCGTGACATCGCACCTCTCAGCTCGCTGCCAGGTCTCCAGAGGACCAGAGAGGCTGCCAGAGTGCATGCCTGACCCCCCACTGCCCACACCTGCCTGAGTGGCTTCCCGAGAGCTGCAGGGGCTTTAGCACCATCCGGCCTGTAAATTTCCACCCCAGGGATGGACATGAAGTTCAGCCAAGATGCGGACTCAGGGCTTCGGGGCAGAGGCCCCGTGCACTCAGCCTGAACCCGGCTCCGTTTGGAGGGCCAAGGTGTGCCCTGTGTAGGGAAGGAGCCCAAGCTGGCCTCACTTACTCCTGAACACATCCCCTGTGGCCTGGCCTCATGGTCAGGCAAGCAGCTCGGATCTCAGCCTTTGGGACCACGTGGCCTGGGTTCATGTCCAAACTTGACCACTTCCTTGTTAGGGGACCCACCGTGGGGCAATTTCTGACCTTCCTTTGCCTCCACTTCTTACCTCAAATGTGGGGACAATAATAGTACCCAGAGCAAGTTAACTTTTCAATGCCTCAATTTCCTCATTTACAAAGTGGAGGTGGTGATGACAGTTACCTCATAGGGCAGTTGGAAGGATGAAATAGATGGAATGATTAGGACAGTGCCTCGCAAGTAGAACATGCTGGGCGTGATACAGTTTAGATCCTATAGTCATCCTTTTCAAGGAGCTGCAGAGCCTGGGTGAGTGAGTTGTAAATGGCAGACCTTGGTCTGCCCGCTCCCTCTAAGTGCTGGCTTTCTGCACCCCACCTCCCTGGACTGTCTGCATGCAGAGCTCCCAAACAAACTGGAGGCAGAATTCAGAAGCGGAAATCAAGCCTCCAGACTGCTAACCCCTAGCTTAGCCCCTGGTCCTCTTGGCGGCTCCCTCTGGGGACTGATCCCTTTAGCATTCTTGGCGCAGTCCCAACACTTTCCACTTCGCACCACATCCCCCCCACCCCGCCCCACTCCACCACCACTTGTGGGATGGATGATGCACCATGTTACCAAGAAGTCAGTATTGCTTTGGGGGTTCCCCTGGGAGGGCGCAGGGCTCCTGTCCAGCCCAGTGCCTTGACAGTGGGCGAGGCCTCACATCCCCTCTTCCCATCCTTTGATAAATAAAGAGCTGATTTTTCCATGTGGCATTTGTCTCTCTCCGCAAATGTGGAGGTCTAAGCACGGCCAAGCTTATCTATACAATGGACTTCCTGCTGGTGTTGGATCTACCCTGCTCCCCACTGTGTAATAAATTTATGTCGCCTGAGCACACAGATCTGCTGACGTCCGTGATCCTGGTGGCCTTGGCAGACCCCAGCTCCCCCAGCCTGGGTGGGAAATGCAGACATAAACGCTGGCTGATGTGAATCGAACATCCCGGTTACAGTCAGCCAGCCAGAGATGGGTGGGCCTTGAGGGTGTGGGAAGTTCCTTCATCCATCAAATGTTTATTGAGGCCTCCTGTGTGCCAGGCCCCATACTGGACATGGAGATAGCTTTTGAGGAGCTTTTACGCTGGCCTGGGAATCAGATGCACATAATTATAACACATGGAGCTCGGTTCTGGGGTGGCACTGAGGACAGAGCCTGTGGGAGGACTGTACAATCTAATTTGGGGCTCAGCCTCAGGGCTGACTTTTAATGAAAAATTTTCATTCCTTGGCACGGAATCCTCAGCAGTGAAGCCCAGATGCGTCTGGGAAAGGTGGAGAGTTCCTTTGGGTTGAGTTATCATAATGCTTTGCACACATGGCCTGTTTGCACTAGGCCCACCATCCAGAGCATCAGCTGTGGGCAGGCCAGGAGAACCCTCTTCTTCACCTGCTCCTCTGCCCAGGCATGGAGCAGCCGTGGTTTTCAGCTTCTTGTCAGAACTCCGAGTTCCCATGTTAATCATAACAAGTGTGTTCCTGGGGAACTGTCCTGGCTCCGGCCAGCAAGCCTTCTCTCCTGTCTTGATAACATCTGTACCAAATTTTCTCCGTTTATATAATTAGGCCTGTTGGTATTTGCTTTGGGTATGACTGGTGTCTCTGAAATTTCAGGCCCCAAAGTATGAGCTGGGAGCCAGGGTGGTGGGATTTCAGGTTTAGTTGGGAGGGCTGGAGATGGCACACCAGCTACTGTCTGCATGAGAAATGCACAGCAGCCCCGCAGCTGGTGGGAGTAGGAACCCCTGCCTTGCCCTGCGAGCAGTGCTGGATCAGGCCTAGGAGATGGAAGAATGCACGGGGCTCCCTTCCTCCCCTCCCTGCCTTTCTTCACCCCACATCCTCCCGCCCCACTCCGTCTGTGGCCCTGGAGTGACAGAACTCAGCAAACAGGAAAAGATGCGCTAACTGCAAAGAAATGCAGTGAATCCAAACTTAACCCCAAAGCCAACCTCAGAGCATCGGGGTTTGGAGTCTTGCTCTGAGATGCCCGTCATAGTCTGGCTATGTCCGAACTGGAGGAGCTGTTTGGGGTGTGAGATAAAGAGGAGAGCTGCGCTTGGGGGAGTTGGTTCTCTGTAGCCAGCTCCAACCAGAAAGGAAGCATTAGGTTTTGCTACCCGCTGCCTGTCTCTGGAGTGCATTGTATCTCATTGGTGACTTCATTTCCTCTAACAGAGTTTCCACAAACTCTCTGGACGGTTCCAGCGAGTAAGCCACACTGATTGTGGTGTGGGAGCTTCTGATATGCTTATTTGCAGTTTCCCTTTGGGAGTCTGGAGGCCCCAGATGAGTGATAACTGGATGATGGAACATTTGCTAGGGGAAGGGGAATGCTTTTTTTTTTTAAGATAAGGTTTGATCCCGAGCAGAAGGGATGTTTCCAGATGCCTGTGTGGTGTCAAGCAGTGATGTGTGGGTGCAGATCCCCTTCTCTGTGACTCTGGAGGGTATCCCCAGTTAGTTAGACCCCCATCCCAAGTTGAACTCTTGCCTCTTAAAGGTGCTTCGGGACCTGTCTAGGGGACAGGGTGGGCTGCTGGGAGAAGGGTCTGTCAGCCAGAATACCGACCGCCACGTTCCTGTTTTTTTTTGGAGCAGTGATGCTTGTAAGATTTTATTTGAATAGAAGGGCTTTTCCCCAGTGTAAGTAGTTGGTTAGGTCATTATGTGTCTTCTCTTCTTTCCTAAATGGCTGTAGCTTTCTTGGGGAAGGACCCTTGTCTTGTTCACTGTTGCAGGATCCCTTGAGACCTAGTTCAGGACTGGAAGAGAATCCCATTCCTGTCACTTCTGCCCACACAGTCCCAATGCCTTCAGGACCATGACCATACCCCTTTGCTTAACTTTGCAGACTCTCAGCATCGAGTTCCAGATGAATCCTTGTCTCCTTTCTCTCCTTTCCCCTTAAGTATCCTCCTCTCCTTCCACCTGAACTAACAGGTTAAATGCCGGAGCTGGGATTTAAGCCCAGTTCAGTTTAACTCTGAACCTCACCTGTATCTTACTGTGCCTTCCCTGAGTCCTTCATGGACTCTGCATTCTTCACGGGATTTGGCACAGTGATTGGTGTGGGGTAAACCCACAGGTAATGTACATGGGATGTATGAATGGCGGGTCCTAATAAGTGTTCAATTTGCACTCACTGGTTAATATGGGTGTATGTGGGTTTGCTCCCCAGTTACACTGCTGACTGGGGAGGAAGTTCTGTCCACAAGGCGAGAGCCCACTGAGTGTCTCTCTCTCTCTCCCCTCTTCAGTGTCTCATCATTGGGGGAGGACCGTGTGGTCTGCGCACTGCCATTGAACTTGCCTACCTGGGGGCCAAAGTGGTCGTGGTGGAGAAGAGGGACACCTTCTCCCGGAACAACGTGTTGCACCTCTGGCCTTTCACCATCCATGACCTGCGAGGCCTGGGAGCCAAGAAGTTCTATGGGAAGTTTTGTGCCGGCTCCATCGACCATATCAGTGAGTGGAGCCAGGGGTGGCACCCCATGTGGGGAAGGGGCTGACCTGGGGTGGGGTATTTCTCCACATTGTGGAATCCCCAGGATATTCCATCTTGCAAGTCTCTGGGGGCCCCTCACATCCAACCGACAGACATTTAGTGCCAGACCCTGTGCTGTGCCCACTAGACTGGAAGCACCATGAGGCCAGGGACCATGGTATGTCTTACCACAGTATCTTTAGGGCACAAAATGGTGCCTGACACATAGTAGATGCTCAATGCACTTCTGTTGAATGAATGAGTGAACGAAATATGGTTAACAGAGGCAGAGGTGAGTCATATCGTTTACACTCTTGGGGAAATCACTGAGATTTTGTCAACAATAAATTGTGCTGTAATAGAATAATCAGACTTGCCAGAGGCACTTAGAAGAGGGAGTTGCGTAAAACCACCCAGTGGGCCAGATTGTCAGGAGGTCTCTTGGTTAGTGCAAGTTGGGACATGGAGTTGCCAGTCTGGGGAGCGGGGAAGGATTTAGAGCAGAGGGATGACACAGTTGACACATCCTGTACCAGATTGCCTTGAGCTTTAGAAAGGGAGAGGCCATCCTGTAGGGGGTCCATCCAGAAAAGGAGGGGGATTGGGAAGGTGGATTTTGGGTCCCGGGCCATCCCTGAATGCTTAGTAGGGTGAAGTGAGCACTGAGGCACCTCCTGCGGTGGTGTTACTTAGGCCTGGGTCTCTCGAGGCGAGTTCTGTGCAGGCAGGCTTTGGGAGAGAAGCCCCTCCCTCCTCCTCATGCTTTATAGGAAAGAGGTCTTTTTTTTTTGTCTTTTTTTTTAAATTCATTTGGCTGTACCAGTTACTTACATCACTCAGGATCTGTAACTGTGGCATGTGGGATCTAGTTCCCTGACCAGAGATCAAACCCGGGCCCACAGCATTGGGAACCTGGAGTCTTAGCCACTGGACCACCAGGGAAGGAGCCTTTAGTCATTTTATATACAGCAACCATAACTCGTAAAAGTCAGGGGAGTTACTATTGTGGGGAGAATTCAAGGGTTTGAATAGTTTTGGGTCCATCTTCTGTGTGACTTGGGTCAGATTTCTCACCTTCCTCCAGCCCCACTTTTGTTTCCCCTAAATATGATCAATGCCTGCTTACCAAGAGAGCTGAGAGGATTAAATGAGGTCATGTTTGAAATGTGCCTGGCTGGTCTAGGTGTTCAGGAAGTGCTTTGCATCCAGTGGGGTACAGTGAGCAAGAGGCAGCTGGGATCCCCAAATTCAAATAAATTCAGGGCTGCAATCTCCAACCAGTGAGTGGAAGGGGAACCCTGAGACCCATGCTCTTACGAGGACAGGCACTGATGGGAAAGGGGTGTGGGGCTGGGGCGAGAACAACTGGAGAGAATTATCAGCCAGACAGGGTGTAATTTAGTCAGATACAGGAGACCTTACCAGCAGTGGCCCAGGGTTTGTTCCTGCCCTGGGATGAGAAAATTCCAAGAGTCCATTGGAAAGAAATTTGGATTTGCCCAGAAGGCTGCAGTGTCAGCTTTCCGGATATTCCTTACCACCCACGGAAGAATGTATGTTGGTACCAATTTAGAATGACAACATTAAGCACCACTTTCCCACCGAGCCTTCCTGAGAGGCAGAGCTGGTCACCAGGAGGCCTCAAGAGGTCTCAGGACTGCCAGGCTGCCTTTCTAGCCAGGGGGCCCCTCACTGCTCCATTGATGGGGCCCCCACTTAACCCCTGGTTCTTGTGTGTGGAAACACAGGCAGGACTCTGAAACTGAGATTCCAAGTTCAGAGTGATTGTTGTCAAGGGCAGCTCTAATACCTGTGAGAAGGGAGGCAGGGAGAATTTATTGAGGACCTACTGGGTGCCGAAACCAGATAGACTAGGAACCTTGAAACCATGAGAAGAAGTCTCCCGCCCCCATGGCCTATTTCCTGGCATGGATTCTTTGAGCACCAGCTGATTGGCTTCCTTTCAAACTGGCCATGGTCTCCAGCCCCAGCTGTGACCTGGTCTTCAGCTTTGCTCAGCAATTTTCTGCTGGTCCTGTGTCAGCATCCTCCTCCAGTTCCCACCGTGGCCGTCCCAAGCCTCCACCACAGCCTCCTCATTCTGAGCAGATGGCCTCCCCCCATCCGCTTCCCTCCGATGCTCTGCAGAAGAGAAGCCACTAGTGGGAGCACCCCCCCCCCCGCCAGTCCCTCTCCTTCCTCCTCCTGCACTCTCCTCTCCCCAAGTGCCCATTCCTTCCTCTCACCCCGAAGTCAGAGGCAGAACTGGTCACTTCTTCTCCAAGCCTAGATGCTCAGTTTCCTCCTCTCCTTTCCCCCTGCCTTTGCCTCACTCAGCCCTCCAGGCCTCTGATAGAGTCCATTACTTTTCTTTACTTCAAAGTACTCATTCTAGAAAGAGGGGACATAGACTTTGCCTCCACTTTCCACTCATGCCGGCTTCCACTGTGGTCTGATTTCTCCCCAGTACTGTGCTAAAGGGATTCTCTCCAGAAGCTTCCCTGACTCCTGTGCCCTGGCCTCCTGCAGTCTTCCTATTCTTAATCTCTCCACAGGACCCAGTATTCTTGGTCCCTTCTCCCTTGGCTTTCAGGCCTGCCGCTCAGACCCCGTTCTGCCACCCCGCTGCCCCTGAGCCCCAGGCCCTGCCCCATTCTGTTTCCCCATGTTTCCTCCACCCGATGGGGTCCCACATCTCCTGGGCCTGGATGGCACTGCGTGATGCTAGATGTCCAATACGTGTTCAGTGAGTGACGCCCACAGAATGCAGAGGGGCCCACAGGTAATCTGAGGCTGTGTGCTCTCAGTAATGGGCATGCCCATTTGTGCTCAGTGGCAGGGACAAAATGGAAAAACAAAGAGCCACTCATTGGGAGAGTTTGGGAGAGTGGGTAGGAGGTGGAAACCATGAGTCTAGCTTTGTGGGGAGGATTCCCCACTCCACCCATTACCAGGGATGGCTGAGAGCTTAGGCGGAGTAAGCCGTTTACTCTCTGACCGTACGTATTCACTCTTCACTCGCTCTCTGCTTACTTCTCTTTCCATCTTCGTCCTGTCAAACCCACAGCCCAGCTCAGGAAGGAGCAGAAAAGAGGGTCACCCTCATGATAGTGGGTGTCGCCCACCTGACAGCTAGAGCACAGTCTTGGAATCAGACGGATCTGGATCCACATTCCAGTTTTGCTCCTGTGTGAGCCTGAGCAAGTCACGTAGTCCTATTGAGCCTCAATTTCTCACCTCTGAAACGAGAGTAATTATCCCAAAGGGCCACTGGAAGGGTTAAATGAGAGAACACAGGGTGCTTGGCACATAATTAGTGCTCAGTAACGATCATTATTGGTACAGGCATACCCTGGAGAAATTGCAGGTTTGGTTCTAGACCATCACAACAAAGCAAATATTGAAAAAAGCAAATTACATGAATCATGGTGCATGTAAAAGTGATGTTCACACTATACTGTAGTCTATCTAGTGTATATGCATATGGAATTAGGTATAAAAAAGCAATGTAAATGCCTTAATTTAAAAATACTTTATTGCTAAAAAAAATGCTAACCATGATCTGAGTTTCAGTGAGTTGTAAGCTTTTGTAATAGTAAAACATCAAAGGTCACTGATCACAGATCACCATAATAAATATAATAATAATGAAAAAGTTTGAAGTATTTCTAGAATTGCCAAAATGTGACACAGAGACACAAAAGGAGCAGATGCTGTTGGAAAAATGACACAAGTCGACTTGCTTGACGCAGGGTTGCCACAGACCTTCAATTTGTAAGAAACATAATATCTAGAAAGTGCAATAAAGCAAAATGCAATAAAATGAGGTATGCCTCTATATCGTTATGCTCAGAAATCATGTGGTAATTAGATAGTGTTCTGCATACAAGAGGCACTGAGACATTGTTCATGACGGTTCATCTCTTTCAACTTCCTTTCTAACAGGTATTCGTCAGTTGCAGCTCATCCTATTCAAGGTGGCCTTGATATTGGGGGTTGAAATCCATGTGAACGTGGAGTTTGTGAAGGTTCTAGAGCCTCCTGAAGATCAAGAAAATCAAAGTACAGTATAATTTTCCTTTTGGTCTAGGAATAAGATATTGTGAAATGGAAACAACATTTGCAACTCCCAGAGGATGATTCGTTAGAATTATTCTGGGGCTGTTTGACATAATTCCATCAAAGGATACTTTACTGTTTTGGACCATTGCTGTCACTTTAGGTTTGTTCTTCAGCTCCCAGCAGATATATTAGAGACATGAGTTTGATCTCTGGGTAGGGGAAGTCCCCTGGAGTAGGAAATGGCAACCTGCTCCAGTATTCTTGCCTGAAATATCCCATGGGCAGAGGAGTTTGGTGGCCTACAGTCCATGGGGTTGCAGAGTCAGACATAGCTGAATGCGTGCGCGTGCACGCGCGCACACACACACACACACACACACACACACACACACAGATACACATTAAACCTGTAATTTGGTTACCCTGTCACTAGGAGGCAGTACTTTGACAGATGAAGTCTAAGTAGTACGTAGGAAAGAAAATGTAGATTTGGTTATCTGATAAAATTCATCCACATGCTCTTCAAGCTGTGTGTACACACACAGATATGTGGATATACTTACTGTACCTGTATGATATTTTAAAAATCTAGGAAAGAAAAATAAAGTTTTGAGAGCAAGTGTGAAATGTTTGAAATATTATTTGGCCTATAATATTTTTAAGCTTTATTGAAAAATAATTTATAAATCATAAAATTCACCCATTTTAGGTGTGTCATATTGAATAATTTTTCTCTTGTTCCTTTTAGTATTTTATAAAAATTCTGATCTTTTATATTCACCATGGCCAGAGTTTGTTCACAATGCCTCTATATGTTAATATCAAACTCTTCTGCTGCTAGACAGGGCTTTCAATTTGGGGTCGAGTTTTGTGTCAGAGACCTTGTAGTTTCATACACAGGTTACAATCCTGATTTCTCCTGTCCTTTGCCCAGAATATTGACATTTTAGGGGAGACATTAGTTGGCTCTTGTGACAGGACAACATGGTAATTTGACTTTGAGACCTGTGTGCTCTTAACCTTTCCCAGATCCCTGTGTGCTGTGCTGTGCTTACTTGCTCAGTTGTTTCTGACTCTTTGCTACCCCATGGACTGTAGCCTGCCAGGCTCCTCTGTCCATGGGGATTCTCCAGGCAAGAATACTGGAGTGGGTTGCCATACCCTTTCCAGGGTATCAAACCGACCCAGGGATCTTCCCAACCCAGGGATCAAACCCAGGTCTCCCGCATTGCAGACAGATGCTTTACCTTCTGAGCCTCCAGGGAAGCCCAAGATTACTGGAGTGGGTAGCCTGTCCCTTCTCCAGGGGATCTTCCCAATCTAGGAGTCAATTTGGGCTATCCTGAGCTGCAGGCAGACTCTTTACCAGCTAAGCTACCAGAGAAACCCTCCCAGATCCCTAGTGGGTGTTAAATCCTAATTATGGGTAACCAGCAAGATTTCACCTGAAAATTGTTTCATAGACTCCCAGCCTTTATAGAGACCAGTAAAACCAGGCATGGAATTGGCACTGCTGGTTTACCTCTTCCTGGACTGAACTGAAGCTAAGCCAGAAGGACTCCAAGTTCAAGTGTGAATCTGAAGAGTCTGGGTCTTTCCTTTGGAGCTTCTGCCTGGGGTGCCTGTACCTGGTAGCATTGTCCATTTCTCATGGCCAACACAGCGGGGCATGTAATCACTCTGTCCTCCCATCGCTCACTGCCAGCTCATCTCATTTTTCTGTCCTGGCAGAAATTGGCTGGCGGGCAGAATTTCTCCCTTCAGATCACTCTCTGTCGGAATTTGAGTTTGATGTCATCATTGGCGCGGATGGCCGCAGGAACACGCTGGAAGGTGATGACTCTTCTTGGGGCTGAGAATGGAGGAATGGGAATGGGAAAGGGTGTATCAGGAAAGTCATGGAGAATGGGTGTAAGACGGTAGGTGCCAAAGCTGGATTGGGGGTCTTAATAGAAGGGCAAACTGCCCTGCTCTGCTTGGGGCTAAGCATTTAGAGAAAACCATTTAATTCTCTCTGAAGCTCTGTAATTTATGAATAGTAGGACCTTTCAGAATATTGCTATAAGGACTGGTCTAAGACTCATATGTAACAATGCTTTTTAAAGGTTAAGCACCATGGAAATTAAAAGAAAAAATCAATATACATTTATTGAACACCTGCTAGTGTGCAAGCCAGGGTGCTAAGTACTTTCATACTTCCAACGAAGAGAATCATTTTATACTGTTGATGGTATTGGTTTACTGTGAAGTATAATACGCTAGAAGGAGAACCTCACCTCTTCTCATAACTTTACAACATGCTTACTGCTGGGTAGTAAGATAAGTTTACCCCAAACTGTCAAGGAATAAAGCCACACCTCTCTGCTTCTAAGTTTGGAAGCATAACACGTTTTTTAGGGGAGAATCTAGAATCTGTTAGGACCCTGGTTTGAAGACCAACTGGTCCCACATGGCATCTCTTGGGCTGAGGACAGGTCTGTTTTTCAAGCTTGCCTTGCTCAAAGGCTACAGCCTGCAGATGTCTGCCGGGGAGGGCACCTTCACTGAGGACAGAACACCCTCCCCGAGCTAGGGTTGATCTGCCAGACCTCAGAAGTGCAGTCCTCCTAGCCAAGGCCCTCCCCACCTACTGCACAGTGCTGCTCCTTTCCTCTCTCTTCATTTCCGCACCCACTCCCCCACCCCAAGCAATCAATATTGGATATCAATTAAAAAATGTTTAAGCTGCCAACCTGAATATTGTATTGTTAGTTTATGAAGAACCAAAATGAAGGAGTGTTGAACAGAAACTCAAGATTTTTAGTCAAAGAGATTTTTGGCAAAGAAGTTGGGAATCACTGTGCAGGTAGAGAACCTGCCTGCCAATGTAGGAGATACAGGTTTGATCCCTGGCTTGGGAAGATCCCCTGTAGGAGGGTATGGCAACTCCACTCCAGTATTCTGGCTTGGAGAATCTGCTGCATAAAGGAGCCTGGAGGGCTACAGTCCATAGGGTCACAAAGAGTTGAATAGAACTGGAGCGATTTAGTATTAGCATGAGACTTAGCATATGCAAAGAGGAGGGGAATCCCCACTGGTGCTGAAGACAGTGGTTTTGTCTGCTAGCAAGACAAATGCCTTGAGTTAAGCTAAGTAAACAGCAGTCAGTACCTGGGGCTGGGATGGAAAGGAAATTCAGGACTGCAGGAAAAGATAGATGCTAAAAAGTAAGGGGATTAGGTCTATCTAATGGGACCATCTGTTGGTGATCCTGTGTGTAATCGCCTGTGATATTGTGATTTATAATAAGGCAAATATATCTGGGTCTTTGTCCCCTTTCTGGCACAGCACCCCAAAACCTTGGAATTTCCTGAGTGATAAGAGCAAGAGGAGTATCTTTTGTTATGATATTTGTCTGTGGTTCCTGAAAACATTTCAGAGCCATAAATGTGAAATGGCTGTGTTGTTATTCATAACAAGCTCCTTTCCACCACATCTGAGTATATGTTAATGAAGTGAGTTTTCTAAAGCACCTAAGAAAGGGAGGGGACTGGTTGCCCAGGGAGCCAAAAAAATGATTAGAGGGTTGGAAATTTTAATCCTATCCCCTGACCTCATGGGAGGGGAGAGGGGCTAGAGATGGAGCTCAGTGACCAGTGATTTAATCACTCAGGTGTCTGGAATAAAGCCTCCAAAAAAAAAAAAAAAACCCAAAGGAAAGGGTGTCTAGAGCTTCTGGGTTGGTGAACAGGTGAAGGTTTGCAGAGAGTAGTAGCATGCTTGGAGAGGGTGTGAAAGCTCTAGCTTTCCCTACACCTTGCCCTGAGCATCTCTTCCACCTGGCTGATCCTGAGTTATTTAGTAAGATATTCTCTGAGTTCTGAAAGCCACTCTAGAAAATTAATCAAACCCAGGAGGGCATTCTTGAACATACAGTCTAGAGCTGGTTAGTCAGAAGCATTGGTGACAACAAGGGCTTATAACTGGCATCTGAGATAGAGGACTGTCAGTGGGACTGAGCTCTTAACCTGTGGGATCTGATGTTATCTCCATGTAGGTAGTGTCAGAATTGAGTTGAAGTGTAGGACACACCACTGCTATCCTGAAATTGATGGTTGGCGTGTGAGGGAAAAGGAACAAGAACAAAAACACATTGTAATTGGGTGCAGAATTCTTACAGCCATTAAAAAAGTGATTTCAATGTACACCATTGAAAACTATAAGAACCTCAATTAGTCACTGAACTAAAACAATTGCAAGTTGGAATTCCATCTACCCATTACACATATATTGAGTACTAAATGCCAGTCACCCGGACTGGAGACTGAAAGAGAATCTGTTAAAAATCTCTGTTCCACAGGAATTCAAGCTCATAATTCTACTTAGCAAATGGGGAAAAACATGAAAAGTGCTAACACAGTAGTTTTAATTGTGTAAGTTTAAATTGCATGTGGGTCTTTCATGAGACTACCTTGTAAGCAATGTCTGTATCTGCTTCTTCTAAAGATAATCTTTCCATGGGTGGTGGCGGGGGTGGTTTCAGGATGGTTCTAGGGCACTACATTTATTGTGCACTTTATTTCTATCATTATATCAACTCTACCTCAGATCATCAGGCATTAGATCTAGAGGTCGGGGACCCCTGTTCTAAAGGATGAGCCCTGTGACTGTCCACTGGAGAAGCACACTGTTGTTTTGGAAGCCTAACCAGAATAATTGGTCCTGGAGATTTGGGGGAAGGAAAAAGTCCCACTGAGAAAGGCCTCCAATGGGTTTCTTTCTCAGGAACAAACCTTAGCATTTCTGTCTGCCTCTATACTCTAGATCCAAAATTCTGGTTTCACTGTCCCATGGGCCATCTGAGAGTAGCTTTCTCAGTAATCTTTCCCAGTTTTCACATCAAATCCAGAAGAAAGACTCACTTTTCCCCTTTTCCTCACACAGGGTTCAGAAGAAAAGAATTCCGTGGGAAGCTGGCTATTGCAATCACTGCCAACTTCATCAACAGAAACAGCACGGCTGAGGCCAAGGTGGAAGAGATTAGCGGCGTGGCTTTCATCTTCAATCAGAAATTTTTTCAGGATCTTAAAGAAGAAACAGGTGGGACCTTCACCTTTCTCCAATCCAGGCTATTGTTCATGCTTCTCTGTTCTGTATAAGGGTTGGAGTAGGGTGGAATGGGGAGGGGTGCGAGCGCCTGTCTTTCCTAGCTCTTGGGACCGAGAGACTCACTCTGGTAAAGTGGAAGGAGGGGTTTCTCTTTAGGATAATAATGGACAGAATCCCTTCAGGGACAGAAAGGATTCTTGAGGGAAATTTCTAGATGTTGTACATGAAAATAGATAACCATTTATTTAATGGTTAATAGATAACCATTGATTTATTTAGCCATCTATACTCAGGAGACATTTACTGATTGCCTGTCGTATTTGTTGTTCAGTCACCAAGTCACGTCTGACTCTTTGCGACCCCATGGACTGTACCACTCTAGCCCTCTCTGTCTCTTACCATCTCCTGGAGTTTGCACTCAATTTCATGGGCTACACAGTTGAGGTGGACATGGTCTCCTCCCAGTAGTGGCTCCTTGTCCGGGGAGAGACAGCCACATAAAGCATCCTGACACAGGCTGGTAAATCTGTGCCCTAAGGCAGTGTGGGGTTCCAGGAGCACTCTGGTGGGGAACCAGAAACCTGTGGGTGGTCCAGAAAGAGGCATAGGTGCTTTTATCTGTGTGCTAGCTGACCTTCCCTCCAGGGATGGTCAGGGATGTGGAGGGTGGGTCACAACACCCAAGGGCATCGGTTGTCTCTCAACCTGGGACTTGAAGAAAGGACTCATTCATTTCCTCAACAAATATTTATTGAACACCTACCATCCATTTCCCAAGGGCATGAGATAGAGCAGTGGGCAAAACAAACAAAAATCCCTCTTTTGGAGTTTATATTCCATAGGTGTTGTGGGGGTGGGGGGTGAGCATCAACAGGCAAATCAATTACTAACATGTCAGGTGGTCTGTAAGTATAATGGAGAAACAATGATTCAGGCTGAGGGAGAAGGGTGAAACTCCTGTTCCCAATTGAGTAAAATTCAGATTTTTTTCCCTTTCTTTTTAACCTGACTTTGAAATATATATATTTCTCCTTGAAAAGGCAGTGTAGCAATGTTAAATAAAACTTTTATACTAAAAATAAATCATTAACACCCAGCAAGTAACAATCATTGTCATGTAGTCTTTTTCGGTAATTCTCCACTGGCATCCTTACTTTTTACATGGCTGGAGCTCTCACCATAGTGTCAGTACTGTTATTCTGCTTTTCTAATTCAGCATCACATTTTAAATGTTGCCCATTGTGCCCAGTCCTCCTGACGGTCAGGTTTGTTTGGAATAGCTCATGCAGTGAATTTATTGTCACTCACTGCTGAAGCATTTAAACCAGGGGTTGGCTAACCATGACTTGCCATGCATTTTTGTATTGCCTTCAACCTAAAAATGATTTTGATATTTTTTGAATGGCTGCAGAAATAGCAAAAGAAGAAATTTAAAGGAAAAATTAAAAATTTATGAATTCAAGCTTCATTGTCCATCAATAGAAGTTTATTAGAATGCAGCCAGGCCAGTTTGTTTACCTTGGTGCCATGAGGGCTTGCAACATAGACCTGATAGCCCTCAAAGCCAAAATATTTACTCTCTGGCCCTTTACGGTAAAAGTTTACAGACTTCTGATTCAAACTTTTCAGTTATTTACTGTTACTGATAAAACTGCTGTTGGATTATTTCAGTAAGGTACTTTTCTAGGAATGGGATTAGTTATTGAGCCAGACTCTGCCTCTCACTGTCCACAGTGATGTGTATCCACTGCATGACCTTCTGAGTGTCACCACGGTGGCATTTTTTTTTTTTAATATTTCCTTCCAGCATATTATGCCCTTTTGAATGATTTACGAATTCTCCAGCCCTCCCTTCCCCTCAAAAACCAAGACAATAAACAAACCACCAAATATAAAGTATGACAGGATGTTGAGTGTGTTTTTCCAAATATTTCAATGAGCTTCCTTTACACTTTGTTGCGGTCATCACCTTTGGCCGTTTTTCGACAACAATGCCCTCACAGAGTGACAGCAGTGAATTTCCTGGATCCTCTGGGGGGCCCTACGCATGGATGGCTGTTTCCTATTTAACGGTAATAAAGGGGTTTCCATGGTTACCCAGCACGCCTCTGTGATAACTGCTAAGTTGCCTTAAACCTGTTCCTTTTTCTCCTAAGAAGCCACACCAGTGGTTCTCAAACTTGAGGGTGAATCAGAATCACCTGTAAGGCTTCTTCAAGCACAGATTGCTGGCCAGACCCCCAGAGTTTCCTATTCTGTAGGCTGGGGTCAGGCCCTCGTCGTTTGCATTAATACGTTTTCAGATGCTGCTGCTGCTGCTGCTGACTAGAGATCCTACTTTGAGAAACACTGAGCTAAGTTGTTATTTTATGGCATTGTTTTAAATGGAGAAACCTAGTCTAAAAAGTCTTTCGCAGTTGGTGGGAAGTACAAAAAGATACAACCCAGTCCTCTGAATTGCTCTACCAGAACCACCTGGGTTTTCACAGGTTAACAGGAGGATGGTAGAAATGTCTCTTAGTCTTTGGAGAATTCACATAGCTCCTGCATCTCTGTTCTCATGGAGGAAACAGTGGACGGGACTTGGTTTCAGACAGACTATGGTTCAAGTCCTGGTTCTGTTGCCACTTAACTGCCATGCCATGGACAGCACTGTGCCTTTCTGCAGCATGTGCTCAGCTCTGACTTGGAAATACTGGTCCGCAGCCCTAAAGAGCTTTGTGAGTTTTAAAAGAAATAGAGGCTTAATCGTATTGCATTATGTAAATGCATCAAATCAGTATGTTGAACACCTTAAACCTGCACAAAGTTATACCTCAATTTAAATAGAAAATAGTATCTCTGTGGGACTATGAAGGCTGTGTTGACTTGGGTAAATTCCGGCACTTGACTTTATCTTTGCCAGCCTTGTATATCTTCAAAATTTGTCTAACACAAATATTTTGCAGATAAATAATGAGACCTATAATAAGACAAAGCAGGACTCCTAACACACGGTAGGCACTGAAGAAGTAATACTGTGTCCATAATCTTCTCTTTGCAGGGATTGATCTTGAGAACATTGTTTACTATAAGGACTGCACCCACTATTTTGTCATGACTGCCAAGAAGCAGAGCTTGCTTGACAAAGGTGTCATCATTAATGTATGTATCTCTTATCTCCTGGCTGTGTATCCATCCTGTCTTAACTTTGGGACCTAGGCTGACAGCATCAGCGAATGTGGGAGCAGATGTTATTCTGCCAGAATCTGAGTTGGGGTGAGGGGAAGAGGGACTGTAGAGGAAGGGACCACCCCCCGCCACCAAGTCCTCCTTTTTGGCACATGAATGTTGGATGGAGGAGCCCACGCTAACAGTAAGAGGCAGGGGTGTTTCTGCAGAGAGCTGGACTGGGGGGTTGCTAAGATTCTCACCCAGGTGTTAGTGAGGGTCTTTACCACGTGTCTCATTTATCCCTTCCTCCTTTTCTGGGCTGTCGCACGTAATTTGGAGGCGGATGGTGGTTCCTTGTCCTAGTGGGACATACGCACATTTACTTGTGAATTTCACCTTGTGGCCCCATTGTCATGTCTGGGGGAAAGCTTTACTGCAGTCAAGAGGACTCAAGTTGAATCTTGGCTCTGCCATGTATTAACTCAGGACTATGACTAAGCTGCTTGTCTTCTCTGAGCCTCAGTCTTCTCATCTGCATAATAGGAATAATAGGTTCTATCTAAAAGGATTGTTCAGAGGAATATATTTTAAAATGTATGCAGAGCACTTGACATGTTGCAGGTTTGTAGATTCCCTCCATAACTTCTCTGCCTGGACACCTGTTCTTTTGTCCTGCTGTTCTTCCTGGCCCCTGTTTCCTGCTTTTGCACCTTCCTGCTTATACAGAGAGCATGGCTGCAAGGAAAGAGCACATGGAGTGACCGGCCCTGGGCTGACAGCTTCTTTGGTCAGGGTTCAACCCTTCCAGAGCCCTGGTTGCTGCCGCCACTGCTGCTGTGGCCTCAAGATAAGGATCGTGCAATCCAGGGTCAGCCTGCTCTCAGGGTGTCGGCCTGTAGCCCAGACAGCATAGTGACCATTCATTGATGCTTGTCAGAGAAGAATGTGCCTAGCCTCATGCCAGTTTGTGTTGGCAGCCGGCTGGGCAGCTTTAGTAACCCAGCCCTCCCCTGGGCTTCCTCTGCATCAGCTCAGGGCTTTGCTGAGAGCCTGAGTCGCTGGACAAGAGGCTGGGAATGGGAGGGGGGGTGGGGTGAATGAAGCCAACTTAGCCCAATCAGCAGATGTGGGTTTCAACATCTGGTGCCCTACTGCTGACCCGGTCTGGGGGAGGTAAGGCCGTGCCCCCTTTTTCCCTCTGCTCTACAGATGTGCCTCCCAAAATTACATCCCTCATTGGGATGCCTGTGTCAGATAGTAAAGGACTATTTAGGGCCCAGGGTGCAGGTAAGGTGGGTACCTTAGCTTGGAAGGAGCTACAGATGTTCTTCTTAGCCCATCTCTGAGGAGTCAAGCCAAGTTTGAATTAGGGCTCCTGTGTCACTGGCTGAGAACTCTGGCCTTCTGGGATGCTGAGTCTCCTCCTGGTCATCCCAGGGTATTTGTCCTGGCCACAACATGTTGCTCGTGGTGACTTGATTTTTTGGCATTGCCAAAGCCCCTCCATGCTCCCCTCAGGCTCTGTGCCATGGCACAGGTGGGTGGGAACTTCGAGCTTTGGTCCCATAATTACTGCAGGAGCTGGGAGCCCATGGTTGTCCCCATCAAGGCCTTCCTTCTGCCTCAGAGAATCTGGGAGCATCATCTGAGCTGGTGCAGAGGGTCCTTGAGGTATAAGACATGAACTCTAGAAATTGGAAGCCAGACTGGACATGGGCAAACTAGACACCATTTGGTTCAGAGGCCTTGTGTGGAGTCTCCAGGTGTCCAGCCAAGCTCTATAGTATCTGCACAAGCTGAGACCCGACTGTCTACCCCAATCTACTTAAGTTTCCATTCTTCACTTGCTCCCAGAGGAATGGCAAATCCTGTTTTCCTGTGTCTATATGGGCCAGCATCTTCCTTGAGATACATAATGTGTTGAGCGAATGTTTGTTGAATGATGCATAATGTGTTGAGCGAATGTTTGTTGAACGACTGACTGACCTGCTTCCCCATCTATTCCTGCTGATCTCCAGGCCTTTTTCTATGACTACCGAAGGGAGGGTAAAGTTTCTCCTATAGGAGCCCTGCCTCTGGGCTCTGAGCTGCATCTGTCCCTCCAGGCCCCTGCCTCTGCTGGCCCATGAACATGCAGGCTTGGTCTTAACCCCAGTAGAAGGGAGCTTGGTGGCCAGGAGTGTGAGGTGGACAGATGCACATCACAGTTGGTCTCCCTGTGCTGAATCCGCCCTCATTTGAAGCAGTGAACAGGTGTTACCTAACCTTCTTTTCTGGTCTACAGCCTCCTTCCACCTCCACACCTTGGGGTAACTATTCTTCCTGTTGGATTCCCCACTCTTCTCTCATGTTTCCTGCTTCCCTCTCTCCCTCCCCACCTCCATCTAGGACCCAACTTCTCTTCCCTAGGCCTGTGCAAAATAAGGCCCAAATTTACCTCCTGCCTGTATTTTCATTTAGCGCTCCTTCCTTGGCTCTACCCTCTTTCTTATAGCCTCGTTCCCACTTTTTTCTTTCATCCTTGTACTTGCCTGCTTCCTACAAGTCTGTTCTACCATCCACCCTCGCACCTGGGACCTCCAGCCCAGCAAGACCCCTTGGCTCCTCCCAGCAGCCCTGGGGGAGGTGGCTGTCATCCCAGCACAGTGGGGGTCCACCCCCACAGTCTAGCATGTGTCATCAGCACCGGGCACCACCTTCATCCTACAGTGTCCACATTCATCTGTCACCCAGTCCTCCATAGCAGTGCTTGTGGCACATTTTGAAGAGGGGATATTTTTGAGATTTCTCCATTCACTCTCCCACACCCTCAGGCAGGAGAGTGATCTTGTGAAAGAATACCTATGAGAAAGGAAAGCGAGTTACAGGAGCTTCAGCTGTGACACAACAAAGGGCTCTTGGGCCAACGCTGGGTTCAATTAAGTGGACGTGGTTTGGATGTGGAAATACTGGAATTTGGGTGAAATCATGACTGTTGGGAAAATTTGCACTGTAGGTCGCTGTTTGTGGTTGAGGCTGTGCCATCTAAGACCTTTGTAAATGCTCTTGCTGTTTGTTACCCTTGGGGTGTCCGGGATGCACTTCAGCACATACTACGGTTTGGCCATTGTTACTTATTCCAGATTGGAATCTCAGTCACTGTAAACTTCCCAATTCCTAGGCCCTGGGCTAGGGAGCCATGTACGCAGTCTCATTCAGTTCTCACATGATTCTGTGGAGTAGATTTTGTTCATTTCATTTTGCAAACTCAAACTTTACAAATGAGAATACAGAAGCTCAAAAAAGTTCAATAACTTGCCCAAGTTTACAGTCAATGCAATCAATAAACAGACATGGAATTTGACCTGTTGATCTCACTGACGCAAGGCCCATGTTAGTCTTACACACTTGTCCTTGGCCCCCCGCCCCAAGGGGTTTGCATGTTCTGTGTCACCTTTTGGGAAAGGTGGTATTTTAGTTTCTGTAGCCACACTATGAGCAGATTTGGCTCTGGAAGATGTCCTAGAGGTCATCGCCAGTGTCCCTCCAGGGTGGATATCCTAGTCCTCTAAGCTCAGGGCTCTCTACCTCCCAGTGGGAAAGTGCAACATTAACACTGTGCGATCAAGGCAGGGCCCTGAGGAGCCCTTAGCCTTTTGAGAAAAGGGGTAACTCATCTTGCAGAGAAAGTTTGAGAGTTATGCCAATTACCCGTTTCTTTTTCGGACTTGTTTGAACACTAGCCACAGCATTTCTGGACCACATTAGCTTAGCTTAGTCCATTATAAAATCACTCCTACTCACTTGCTTTTTTGTCTTTTTGTTTCATTGAACGTTATCAGGAGAACCAGCCATATGACATATGCTTCTGTACTTCTGCAGGACCATTATTTACACTGTTATAACACACTGCTCTCTGTCAAAATTCCTATGTCAGATAGTTCTTTTAGAATTTAGTGCCAGGAAAAAATTGCCTCCCCTAGGAATTTCTATGCTTCCTTCTTTCTGATAAGGAAAGACTTGTAACATATCTCATTTCCCTTTTACCTTGGATGCCAGGAAGCTCAAAGCCAAATCTGATGCTTAATCATAACTCTCAACATTCCAGATGACTGGTTTGGTTCCTCTTTGTTCCCTGGGCCCCAATTTTCTAGTTCTGTCTCAATTAGTCTTTCTGCAAATCCATTCCAAGTCCTTTTGCAAAGAAGTGGATATGACTCCTTGCCCTCTTGAGGGGCAAGTTGCTACGCTGTGCTCTTGTTCTTTCCCCCAGGACTATATCGACACAGAGATGCTGCTGTGTGCGGAGAATGTGAACCAGGACAACCTGCTTTCCTATGCACGCGAGGCTGCAGACTTCGCCACCAACTACCAGCTGCCGTCTTTAGACTTTGCCATGAACCATTACGGGCAGCCCGATGTGGCCATGTTCGATTTCACCTCCATGTATGCCTCCGAGAATGCGGCCTTGGTGCGCGAGCGGCAGTCACACCAGCTGCTCGTGGCCCTCGTGGGCGACAGCTTGCTTGAGGTACCTCCTGCGTTTGGAGTCCCCTGCTTCCTGCTGGAAGACAGATCCCCACATTGTTTTTCTAACTGGCAGCATCTGCTGTCCTGAAGCCCAGGGGAAGGACAGGCTCTCAGCCAATTGGCAGGACTCTGCCAAACCCATCCTGGCCTCAGAACCTACCTTTTGACTAAATTCAGAGAAGTCAACTCTGCCTATGTACAGGCAGGAACACTTTCCCTTGCCCCTCTGGTTTCTTCGGGGCTGGCTTCTCGGTTGAAGCAAAAAATTAAGTGGCCGTGGTCTAACTTCACAGGCCATCCTTCTTAAAGCTTGTAGATCCTGAGACTTCTTCCTCCAGTCTGTGGATCTCTGTGGACTTTCAGCATACAGTTCATATAGGATCAAGAAAGGAGTGTTGGCCCCAAAGTCCGTGGCCTCCTTGCTCAAAATTCTTCCCAGAAAATCTGCAGATGCTAACATTCTTAGAATAAATGAATGCTTTCAGGAGGGGGGGAAATCTTTATCTGAATGTAAGCACTGACCAAAAAATGTTGATGCATGTATACCACATTAGCATCAAATTTCAAACCATGCTTTGTGTGCACATGGAGCAGTTTAGTTAGAGCTTAGCTTCATGAATCCATGCTTGTTCATCCCAGGGTGCAGACTGTGACCTCAGCTCCTTGCATAAGCCCTCAGCACGGCTTCTGCTGCTGTCCCAGTCCTCCTTCCCAGCTTTCTCTCTCAGCACTGTCCTCCCACGCTCTCTGCTGCACCCAAACCAGACAGGCTGTTCTTCCATCGGGCTCCGTCATTTTCCTACCACCAAGCCTTTGCTCTCTGTTCTGGAATGGATCAGGATCAGAATCCTATCCATTCTTTAAAACTGGCATGAACATACCTCTTCCATGAAGTATTCTTTGATTCTGTCTGTCTCCCTCCCCGGGGTGGGAATTTGCCTCTGCCTTTTTGAGCCCCCAAAGCAGTTATGCTGTCCCATGCCATAGCACCCTTGCATAGACTTTATGCTACAGTTCCCTGTGTTTGTGGCGAATCCCAGTGATGTGCCTGTCACGCCTCTGTCCTCCCAGTGCCTCCCACGGGCCTGGCAGACACCAAGTGCTGGATAGAATGGGATGTCAGGCTGGGAATCGCTGGAATCACCTGGAACTTTGTTATGTGTCCCTTGTAGCCATTCTGGCCCATGGGCACTGGCTGTGCCCGTGGCTTCCTGGCAGCCTTTGACACTGCGTGGATGGTGAGAAGCTGGGACCAGGGCACTTCGCCCCTGGAGCTTCTGGCTGAAAGGTGAGTACTGACAGCAGGACCCTCAGCTGGAGGCAGGGCCAAGTCAAAATTCAGGCAGAGGAAGGAGCAAGGCTGGCTGAAATCTGGAGCCCCTAACCCGCTCTGCCTGCCTTCCCACATGTGGCCAATTTGACCTTTGGTGTCCCCGAGGAGTCCTCCATCGTGACCTACCTCCATCATGATCTACTTCCCTAGCGGCCAGGATCTTAAGACTTGGATGCCAAAGAGAAATCTTCACCTTCAGGGCAGCCCTGAAGTTGGGGGTCTCAGCACTGCTGAGACACTGAGGAACCAGAAGGGGTCTAGGGGAAGCATCCATTGCAGCACTGAGTCCCACTCTGTTGAGGGTTGGGTGCTCTGACCTCCTAGGCCTCTTCCACTGCTGAGATCCTGGGCTTCCTCCCAGACCCATGCTGCAGGCCACGTGGCTGTGACAGCTGGTGGGCTGGGAAGAGTCAGGGCTGGCGGCTGGGGACAGGCCTCGGCTGGTCTTGGGTGTGGAGACCTGTGGTCATGGGGGAGCAGCCACAGGAGGCTGAGTGGCAGTTAGAGCAAAACCACAGGTCGCTGGGCTGCCAGCTGAGTCCCTGTCCTCTGCCCAGGGGAGGAGGCCAGCACCACCACCTCCCATACTCCCTCCTGCTTCCTCCCAACCCTGTTGACCCTCCCTCGCTTTGTAAATCTCAGGAACCAGGAGGGCCAGGCATTGCTGGGAAGGGTTATGCAAACACATCGAAGAAGTTCTGGAGAACAGGGGAAGGGGGGCAGTAGGGGGTGTAGGGAAGGGGTGGGACTGAAGGCCCGAGGTTGCAAGAGCAATCTTTGATCCCAGCTCTGCCTCCCTCCAGAGAAAGTCTTTACCGACTGTTACCTCAAACGACCCCAGAGAACATCAACAAGAACTTTGAGCAGTATACATTAGACCCGGGGACGCGGTACCCAAACCTCAACTCAAACTGCGTCAGGCCCCATCAGGTAAGGCCTTGCCTGGAGTCCTGTCTGGGCCACTGTGCCCTGAGAGGTAGGAAGGGGTGGTCACCTAAAATCTTGGAACAGTCCTGGGACCGAGGTCACCAGTGCCTCTTGGCCTAAGGGTGGGGCAGTTCCTCTCTCTGGGAAAGCCACAGGGTAGAGTCAGCATCTTTAGCCCACAGGAAAGAACTGGAACATGTAGGTGTGTGTCCACATACGTCCATGTATTTACATGTTTGTTAGTCACTGGGCACATGCACTGCTGAACATGAAAAGTGAAAAGTGTTAGTCACTCACTCGTGTCCAAGTCTTTGTGACCACATGGACTGTATCCCACCAGGCTCCTTTGTCCATGGAATTATCCAGGCAAGAATTCTGGATTGGGTAGCCATTTCCTTCTCCAGGGAATCTTCCCGACCCAGGGACTGAACCCCAGTGTCCTGCATTTGGATTTCCCAAGTGGCACTAGTGCTAAAGATCCCTCTTGCTGATTCAGGAGGCATAAATGAGAGATGCGTGTTTGATCCCTGGGTCGGGAATATCCCCTGGAAGAGGGGATGGCAACCCAGTCCAGTATTTTTGCCTGGAGAATCGCATGGACAGAGGAGCCTGGTGGGCTACAGCCCATGGGGTCGCAAAGAGTCTGACACGACTGAAGCGACTTAGCACACACACTCCTGCACTGCAGGCAGATTCTGTATTTTCTGAGCCACCAGGGAAGCCCATTGCTGAGCATAGCTCTCTTGAATAATCTACTTGATCAAATATCAAGTCCTTTCCATCCGAAGTTCTAGAGTCTATTTTTTCTCTCGCTGACTTCGAGTCACACAAGCTCTGACCTCTTCAGTTAGAGGAATTTTAAAAATCTGCCAATTACCTATATTCACACTTGACTTCCCCCACATTTGGGTGGATAACAGATCCATAGCTCTGTATCAGATTGCTAATTCCTTTGCTGAAGGGTCATGCCCTTCAGTGAGAGAGGAAAAGGGTTCAGAGGCCCTGTGACTACGATTTGGGGAAGAACTGGCAGACAGTTGTGTTCCCTCTCCCCCTAGGTGAAGCATTTGTACATTACTAAGGAGCTGCACCAGTATCCTCTTGAGAGGCTGGGCTCAGTGAGGAGATCCGTCGGCCTCTCCAGGCGAGGTAAGAGGCCTTCCTGGGACCCCAACTCTGCAGGGAGCGGGCCGGGTGGGTGGCAGGCGGGCCCCAGGCCCTGCAGCCAGCCTGGTTCTGATGCAGTGACCTTGGCCAGGTGCCTCTCATCTCCGCCCTTCCATTTCTTCACCTGTAAAACTGGGACAGGACAATACCCCCCATGGCATCACTGTGTAGAGTAGGGGCGAGTGCTTGGTACATTAAAGTGAACTGGAATGACTTCCTGGGACTTGCTTTTCTTTTCCTGTTGTTTCCAGTCTGAGGAGTCTTGACTCCTCAGTTAGATAAGAAGCTCCACATGCTTCGCTCCTTTACTGGTCCTCCGGGGCCTGGCACAGTGCTGGGCACAAGGCCGGTGCTCAATGCAAAAGGAAAGGAGGGTTAAATGGCTAACTTCTCAGCATCCATCCAGCTGTGCTCAGGTCACCATCCTGCTTAAAGATGCACCAGCTGCCCAGACCTTGTGTCCTGCCTACCACTCCTCGCTGCCCTCCACATTCACATGCCCCATTGCTACTGGCCCTTTGATAAACCATTTCACGAAACGTGGCAGCCTTTTCTCGATTCTTTGCCATGTCACAGTCCTGTCTCTTCCCCGGAGATCTCTTTCTGTCTTAGACACTCTTCTAGAAGCAGCTCATATGTACCTCCTCCATGACTTTTTCTAAGGTGAATTCCCTGGTGCTGCCAGACTCTAGCAAGCCTGTTCCCCTGGCATCGGGTTTCTCCACCATTGTCACCCATTTCTGCACCTGTCTTCCCCACAGGATAAGCGCACTATTGACAGAGTCCATGTCTTCCTTACCTCTATATTCCTGACCTCTAACCAGGACCTGGACAGAATAGGGGTCTTAGGGACTCTTTACTGCAAGAGACCATGCTTCCTGTCCCAGCATCCTGCATGCTCTCAACAGGACCCCTACAGGGGCTGCATCCCACAGCCCCTCACTTTCATACTTTTCCTCCTGGTCCCCACCCATGGTGGCAGATGAAGCGGGTCCCCAGGGTAGCTGCTGAGATTTCTGCAAAGCACTTCACCACTATCTGTCTCCTCCTACTGCAGAGTCGGACATCCGGCCCAGCAAGCTCTTAACCTGGTGCCAGCAGCAGACCGAGGGCTACCAGCATGTCAATGTCACCGACCTGACCACATCCTGGCGGAGTGGTCTGGCCCTGTGTGCCATCATCCACCGCTTCCGGCCTGACCTAATGTGAGTCTGGGGCCCCGTTCGACCTGGCAAGCTCCTCACTTCTCAAGGGGACCCTGGAGACAAGGGAGACCAGGGCTGTTGTACATGCAGAATCCTTGGTTCAGTATTCTCTTCGCATACTTTGGATTTGAGTTTTTTCTTAAATTTGTTCTTTTCCCTTTGCACTGGTTATTCTGCTTGCAGCTTGTCTGATCTGTGAGGAGCTAAAGTGGCTCAGATTCACGAATTGATTGCACTTATATTCCAAACCATCGTCTTTTGGGAAATTTGAGCATTTGCGCCTTCAAGTGGTAGCCTCAAGAGAGGACTTAGGGGCAAGACTTAATTCTGGGAGCCGATTTGAGGTTTTACAGACAAAAGAATTAGATTTGAGACTCAGATCTGTTAGCTGTATACTGTTGGGCAGGCCCCTTATCTTCTCTGAGTTTGCTTCTTCATCTATAAATTGGGAATAATAGCAAGGTCATTAGGAAGTTTGGATTATGTTTGTGGAAACGCTTTATAATGTCAAAAGCACTATATGTCTATTCTGTTGTTTTTATATCAACTGTAGTGTAACCTCACACCCATGAGCAAATTTGTCCAGAAGGCTGGATGCAACCTAGTAAAGGTTCCCAACTGGTACCTTTAGGAATTGAGGTTGCCTCAAGAAGGGGACAGGGCTCTCACTTGTTACTTTATATAACTTGATTCTTTATTTATAAGAAGCTCATATTAGTTTTGTAATTAAAAGGAAAAGAATATAAGGGAACTACTTAAAAATAAAATGGCTCATAGATTTTCCAATCATTTTCTTATGTTTTCAGCCCATGACATTCTCATGGCCTAGATCTGATTTGGTCCCTCCCTGAGTGAGAACGGGGTTTACTTCTTCTGGCTGAGCCCCGCTAAGTGGTCGGGGGTGGTGGTGGAGGGATCCGAGTGGGAACAGTGTCCCCTGCAGCGCTCCTTACGGCTGAGGTTGTTCAGCTCTTCACCCCTCTCCATCCTCTCCCTGAACTTCACTTCATTCTGATTCTCCAGCAACTTTGACTCTTTGAACGAAGACGACACTGTGGAGAACAACCAGCTGGCATTTGACGTGGCAGAGCGTGAGTTTGGCATCCCCCCAGTGACCACAGGCAAAGAGATGGCATCGGCCCAGGAGCCCGACAAGCTCAGTATGGTCATGTACCTCTCCAAGTTCTACGAGCTCTTCCGGGGCGCCCCTCTGAGGCCTGTGGGTAAGAACCTGCTTTCGGACGAGGCTTTCCCTGCCCCCGAGCCGTCTCTGCTCTGCACCTACAGCTCGCTGCCGTTCACACTGATGGCCTCTGTTCTGGGGCTGACCCCTGCACCCCCCTTGCCTTTGAGCCTAAATAGGGGTGGACCCTGTGCACAGGTTCTATTCCCCGGGAGAAGGGAATGGCAACCCACTCCAGTATTCTCACCAGGAAATACCACAAATGGGAGGAGCCTGGCAGATGACAGTCCATGGGGTCGCAAAGAGTCGGACACAACTGAGCAACTAACACTTTCTGTGTGTAAGTGGGTCCTGTAGGTGTCACGTGAGACCTGCCCTTGTCACCAGGAGGTCACAGACAGAGTGGCACCAGCTCCCTACACAGGCCACCGGCAGCTTCAGTTGGGGGTGAAGGAGTTACTTTGGAGGGACTTTGTCTCAGTGACACCCCCTGAACTCTGGGGGAGCAGTGGCAGGATCCGAATCTCAGTCTTTTACTTCCTAACAGATTCCTGGCGTAAAAACCACGAAGAGAATGCCGACCTCGGCTTGGCCAAGTCATCCATTCCTCATCACTATCTCAACCTCACGTTTCCAAGGAAGAGGACTCCGCGAGTAAGTTTCAGTCTGGGGTTGTTTAACCTCTCTTTGCAGGTGGATGGGGTGAGGGGAAGGGAAATGCCACGGGCTGGGTCTGTTTGTGCTGATAAATTGCACAGATCGAGCACTCATGGAAGATATGAGTAGGACTCAGTCAACTTCCCTTGCATGGTGTAGCCAGCTTCAAAGCCTTCAATGTGGTTATAGGAAGGGCAGGGTAGAGAGTGAAGAGGACACGCCAGTGAGTATTTTTTAAAGTAAAGATTAGCCCTGCCTCCTAAGCAGGGAGGAGGAGATGGTATCTCACTTTGCTAAGCAGTTTAGATCAGGAACATGATGGCCATTTAGTAGCAGAGGAGGATGAAGAGGCTACGTTTACACATTTTGTTCCATTTTTTTTTTTAATTTCATCCATTCAGCAAATGTCTATTGGGCCCTACTTCATGCCAACTTTAAAGCTGAATGTTTTGTTAGTTTTTGAGAGGAGCAGATATACAGAGATGATTAATAAGTGGGCCGTTGCCTTTGAGAAGTTCAGAGCCTAATAAAGAGGTTCCCAAAGTTTCCTGACTCAGTGGCACCTTTCATGTCTTAGTCACTTTTTTCACACTGTTCCCAGATCAAAAGAAATACCTAAAAGTTTCATTTGCTAAGCATTTACATCCAAATATAATAACTTGGTAGGGGTGTTTTGCAAGGTATGTGACGAGCACCACCATGCTTCCCTAGAAAATTTAAAATATCCTGCAGCTCCTCTGTGAATTCACTATGGTGCCTGGGGGGTGCGTTGGTACCTAGTTTGGAAACCCACAGGCCTAGTGAGAAATTGCAATTTTTAAAAAATTAGTTATTTTTGGCTGTGCTGTGTCGTCCTCAGTACATGTGGACTTTCTCTCGCTGTGGAGAGTGGGGTTGTGGTTCTCGGGCCTCTCTTGTTGTGGAGCATGGGCTCTAGATCATGAGGACTCAGTAGCTGTGGAGCCCAGGCTTAGTTGCTCTGCGGCATGTGGAATCTTTCCAGACCAGGGATCGAACCTGTGTCTCCTACACTGGTAGGCGGATTCTTCTCCACTGTACCACTAGGGAGTCCAAGAAATTATAATTTTATATGAATGGCTACATTTCCATGGAAGGTATAATACAAGTTGCTTTGATTGACGTGCCCATTTTATAGATAAAACGTCCACTCAGAGACATTAGGCTGCAAGGGTGTGCGCTGAGCTTACCTTCCCCCGCCCTCACTCAGCAGAGGACTGCAGGCCTCTGCAGGTGTCTCCGTGTCTCTGGATCATCGACAGGCTCTTAACTGCTGGCCAGTCACGCCTTGTCCTGCCGGCCCCTCTGCCCAGGGTGGAGCTCGGGCCGTGTGGCCTCCTCTCTTTCCCTGGGCTGTGTGATCAGTGGTCACTTTTTCCACTGTGGGCTGTGCTCCCTGGAATGTAACAGTGGTTGTGCTAACTTCAGGAGCCGGGTACTTAGTACTCTGAAGGCCCTGTCTGCATGAGGGGACAAGTTGGGGGTCTGGGAAAGCAGGATGAGCGGGTCAGCTCAGGTGTAAGCAGAGCAGCTGTACCCCATTGCTCTGTCCCCCTCTGCTCCCCGAGCCGCCCCACTCAGAGGCTCTGTGGGAGGCACCGTAACCCACCACACGTCACACTGAGTGAAAGAGATTTTCTGGAGCCCAGTCGTCGGCTTGCCCCAACCCAGCCCAGCTGCTTCTCCTCTGATGACCGAGGACCCCCTCCTTTGGGCTACTCCATCCCAGACAAGCCAGTGCAGTCTCTCTGGAAGCTCTCTGAGCCAGACACTTAGCACTCTTCTCTGTTCACCCGATTTCTCCCACCACTTAGCCCACAACTGGGAACTGGAGAGGAATGTTTAAACCTTTCACCACACCTCTGTTTACAGAATGACCGAATTGAAACAGCCTGGCCAACTGGCTCAGGAGGTGGGAATGGTCAAAAGTCGGCCGTCAGCCAGGCTCTCCGTAGGTTTGCTGGAGCCTTGCTCCACTTTGGCCTGGCTCTGGGAGCAAATGCAGCGGGGATGTGTGGGCTCTGCCCGGCCCAGCCCCGGCTGGTTTTGGCCCACGTCCAGGGTGTGCTCCTTGGCTGCACATCTTGAGAGCAGTTGAAATCCACACATCTGATTCCCTCCCACGGCCCCATTTAACATCTGAAGTTTGTCCTGCTCCTCAGATAGGTAGGGAGGTCAGGTCATTGAAGTAAGTGCCTGGTCGGTATTTGTTGTCCCGCCCTTTCTCCTCAAACTGATTGAATGCTTCCTCTAGGGGGGTTGGTGGGTTTATAACACCACTGAGTCACATTCTGCCCTGGTACTGAAGCACCCCATCATATACTGTCTGCCATTCAACTCCAGTGCAATGGTCAGACTACATGCAAAGTACCTTCTCCCCTTTTTATCTTGTGTCATGTCTGGATCCTCTTTTGGCTTGGAGGTATCTGTTAGCAATGCTCTTTGGTCTTAATATGTCTCATAAGCAAGGGGTACTGAGTACACTCCAGGTTGCCTCTGGACACACACAGCGGAGTTCTACACAGGAGACTGAATACTGTACATACATATGGGGCTCCCCCACCGTTACACCCAGGAGATGTCAGTGCAATTAAACACGCAGTCTTCACTGCCCTGGTACATGTGTCCTTACGGTCTGGAGATGCAGGCTAGGCTGTTCTTGCGTGATTTTCTACACCAGGGCTCGAACACACAATCTGTATGTATAGGTGCATCTGTATTCCCCTCCCCCTCCCCCATCCCTCCCTACCCCTCCTCCCTCCTTACTAACTTCAGAGGAGCATCTTGATATGGGGATTGCTGCTGCTGCTGTGTCGCTTCAGTCACGTCTGACTCTGTGCAACCCCATAGACAGCAGCCACCAGGCTCCCCTGTCCCTGGGATTCTCTAGGCAAGAACACTGGAGTGGGTTGCCCGTGCCTTCTCCAGATACAGAGATTGAGTAGCCCATATTTGTTCACATGTGGTGTCTTAATCTGAAGAGGGCTCTTTGTTTCTCTCCTGAGCTGGGCTAACACTCTCTCGCCCTCCTGGTTTTTGATGTTGGTGTTAAAACCTTCTTTCCTCCCTAATCTTGTTTTCCTGATAATATCTAAATTCCAGCAAAAGACAACAACTTTGGGCAAAACCGAAGGCTTTTCCTCCATCCAGGAACTTATTTTAGAGACAATGACTTTCCTATCCCATGCCGAGAGGGCTGTACCTCTGGTGAATGGTAACCAACTGGGGCTGGTTATTTCTGGAGACTGGATGGCCCATGCCTGGGGAGAAGGAGAAGAGTTGGGGATTCTGTTTTCTCTTAAAAGGCCCTTGGTCTACTTCTGCAGATCTGCCTCTGTCCTGATCAGCTTCTAGCAGCCTGGTGGTGTGGGACAGTTCCTGGAGACCCAGAGCTCTTGTCACCATGCTCACACATATGTGGTCTCTGTCCTTCTGTGTATGCGTGTGGGCATGTACAGACACTTGTCACCATACCCACAGGCGAAATCTGAACACACAAATGTGATCTTATCCTGTGTGTGCACGTGGGTGTGTATATACACATGCACACACTGCCTGTCTATGCTTTTCTCATCTGACCCCACATAGATAATACCTGGATTTATGGCCTCATCAGTCACAGTACATACGACAGACATAGTCAAGTTGTTTGGTCTTTGTTTTCCCCATTCTGAACCCATTCCTTGAGGGACAAGGCAACACAGAACTTGTCATTTGTCCCTGGAAACCCCATCCTAGAAGCCAGGTCAGTGGCCCCAGGATTTATCCTGGTCTGCTGGCTGATTCTGACCCATGTCCTCCTCTATTGCTGGTCCCTGGCGGAGTGGGATTCACAAAGCATGAGTAAGATCAGTGTCTGGTCTGCGCCAGGGGTAGGAGGGGCCCTTCTAGCCCTTCTCCTTGACTCTCCTCCACAGACACTTTCCAAAGATTCAGGGGCCATTATGTAAGAAAGTCCCTCCTCCATCCGCCCATTCATTCAACCAAGATTTACTAAGTCCCCATTTTATGCCAAGTTCTCATTGCTGGGGCACAGCAATGAACAAGAGGGCCAGGGTCCCTGCCAGAAGGAACTGACTTTCCAGTGCAGCTTCCTAAGTTCCTCTCACTCCCCTTCTCCAGCCGTGCTCACAGAACCGCCCACCCAGCAGCCAAAACTCCCACTAGGTTTTTCACACTTGTCAGTTCAGAGATTTGAAGACAGCTTAGGGAGTCAAGGGCCCTGGGTCCTAATGCTGCCTTGCTTGGCCAGTGTGGGCCTTGAGCCACGTGCACGCCCCCCCACCACCCTGGGCACCCGAGGTCTGCAGGTCTCTGTGGGCAGTGATCACTCCTGTCCTCTGTGTTTCCACAACCTGGGACTCTGCACTGCCTTATAGAATGAGGATGCACTTTAAAGCCAGGCTGACAACTGCATATTTTGGTCTGCTGGTGATTCAGCACATGTTTGAACCTCTCTAAGTTTCTTTGCTTGGCTGCAAAATGTGACATGATAACAAGCATTGCATTGCTGTGAAGACAGTGTTGAACCAATGTGAGCTGCAGATCTGATCTCCTTCTCTGGCACACAGAAAGGGCTCTGTACGTGATGGTCCCCAACCTGTCCTTTAGGAGTACTGAGTGAACAAAGATGCTCGTTTTCTGAAAAGGGTAGAACTAGCTGGGTTGACCACTGGCTTGTGCACTGCAGCCGTGACGGATCCAGCATTGTACAGCGCACACAGCAGTGCTATAGATAGCTCATTTGCTCTTGTTAGGTTTTGAGGAAGTCAAGGGACATATTCTCATCCCAGTTTTAGAGATGGGGAAACTTGGTCTTAGGGAGATTATATTGTGATCCCATATAGGTGGGTAAATGTCAAAGCCAGACTAGAATTCAGATTTTCTAATTCTATGAATAGCACTGACCTAACTTCAAATGTCTAACACTTCTATAGCACTACATAGAAGAAGTGTCTTATATACATGATTGTATTCATCTTTTTATTTTTTTTGTATTCATCCTTACAATAGCTTAGTATAGGATCCTAGAGGTGAGGAAACTAAAGTCAGAAAAGTTGATGATTTTCCTAAGCTCACTTAGCTGGAAAGTAATTCAGGTCAGAACTTGAACCCATGGCTCCTTGCTGCTCTGCCACGGAGAGGGGAGCTGTCTTGCCAGTGTCACTGGCCATCTTTCTAAATATCATGGTGGCCACTGTACTTTCAGTCAGGTCACTGCCTACAATGGCCTGTCTCTCTTCCTATGACCTTGGTCTGAATTTCTCCAGGGTTAGGGTTCATCGGCTAACTAAATATAAAGTTGGCTTGTTTGGAGCTAAAATCAACTTAAGTCAGGTAGTATAGGAACAAGAATATTTTGTGCTGATCAAATAAATGATGAGCTTGGTAGATATACGTCTAGATACACGTCTGTTTTTTAAAATGGAGATCACCAAGTAGTTTAATAAATGTCTTTTGATATATAGACTCTTTCAAATCATTGGGAAATCATGATAAGAAAGTGTCTTAGGATGAAAGGACAGAAAAAATTTATGGGAAAAGGAAGTGAGTTATTTGTTTAATCTCCTGCTGTCTCAGGGCACAATAACTATTTTTTTCCTCCTTGTACCCACTTCTCTATGGTGCAAAATAGAGTTCAAGGAGAGGGGGATTGGGAGGATTTTTTGGCTCCTGAATAGAGATGTACAGATAAGGAAAATTAGATAAAACTCCAAGTTTGTGTTTTCTCAAGCTTGGTGTTTTAACCTAGCTCTGAGTTGAGCATAAGTGCTTTCATTATAAATCCATATGGAAGAGCAGAGACCCTTTGGGTCTGTTGTGTGGCTGACCTTTCCATATAGACTGCATTTTATTGTCCTGTGGGTCAGGCTGAATCAGAGGAGTTGAGGTTGCCCCCACCCACTTCCTCTCTCCCTGAAGAATTTGGGGGACTTCTTAGGCCCTGCTTCTGGGTACTCTCCCCCCAGGAATGTTTTCTGTGCACCAGCCACTAATATACTGAATTTGGATCCATGTAGGCTCTGATTGTTGGACCAATCACACCCAGAGAGTAAGATATGTTGCTCTTGGAGGGAAAAACCAAGTCCTCATTAAAGGTAGAAACAGGAAGAACAGCAGAAAACTCTAAGATGATGCCTGAAGTGTTCTTGTGGGGAGGACACCCTGTGCTTTCACAGGCTTGTCTCGGGCCAGTGTAGCACTCACAGACCGTGGAGCCGGGCGCCTAAACAGCCTAGGCCTCTAGAACCCGACGCTGCAAATAAGGTCATCTGTTTCTCTTGGTGTTTGCCCAAACATTTGGGTTGAAATCATTTCCATTCACAGAAAAATGATTTGTTAGAAGCAGAGGAAAATGTTAAAGGGAAGGTGAGGCCCTTTGATCTGTTGTTTTGTGCTGCCTGAGCAAGGGAAGGGTCACATTTTTGAACAAATATCAATGACTACACTGCGGTTGATCTTGTTTTAAAATTTTTTCAAGTTGCTGGTAAATAGGAGGAGGGGCAGAGGTGGTGAGGAGTGTAAGAGCAGGGGGAGCAGGTGCTTGCCTGTGAGAGCGAGTGGGTACAGACTAGACTCTGTGCTGAGGGCTCTGATCATTCCTGTTGATTTACAACATCCGGGGGGTAAAGGGTCCTCTGGGATGGGGCAAGGTGAGGACATGTGGTGCTGATTGGGCTGCAGCCTGGGTTGGAGGGGAGAGAGAGGCCAGAAGCCATTTCAGCTGCATCCAGTGTGAACAGAGGCTGGGATTTAATCTGGCCTTCCCTGATGGCTCAGATTGGTAAAGAATCCATCTGCCAGTGCAGGAGACGTAAGAGACAAGGGTTTGACCCCTGGGTCAGGAAGATCCCCTGGAGAAGGAAATGGCAACCCACTCCAGTGTTCTTGCCTGGGGAATCCCATGGGCAGAGAAGTCTGGTGGGTACAGGCCATGGGTAACTAACACACTTTTCACATTTTCCCCGCTGAGGGGGTTGGAGTCTCCCATGGGGAGCCATAGTCAGTGGGGTTGGCTCCATGGTCCTCAGTGGGCTGGCCACATGGGGAAGGTCCCAGCTTAGGTCTAACCCCAGTGTCAAGGAGAGGGTTAGTGGGTAGGGGGAAGCACCAAATCTAGCCTGCAGCCCTATCCCAGCTCATAGCATCAGCTCAACTTGTGCAGTCCCGCTGCTTCCCTTAAGTAGAAAAGCCAGACCACAGGTGTGCCCTTGGGTGGTCCTTGCAGGCATCGTGCAATAGCCTGAGGTAGAAGGGGGTCTCTGGATGTAAATGTCCAAATCTGCGAAGCAGAGTCGACTGTAAGGGCTTATCAATAGGAGAGTCATGCAATTTTTTGTCTAAACCAGGGTACTTTTGAGAATGAGGGACTTCCCTGGTGGTCAGTGGTTAAGACTTTGACTTCTAGTGCAGGGGGCCAGGTTCGATCCCTGCTTGGGGAGCCAAGATCCCATATGCTTCACAGCCAAAAAACCAAAACATAGAACAGAAGCAATATTGCAAAGAATTCAACAAAGACTTTTTAAATGGTCCATAACAACAACAAAAAAAATCTTAAAAATAATAAAAAGGGCATTATTCCTAATTATGCCTGGGATGGGGGAGGGGGGGAAGCAATGCATCAAAATGTCCTGGGCAGACTTAGCTATATGGTCATCATAGTTTTCATGTCATATCCGATACTGTTTTGAAGTTAACACAGTATCATTTACCAGTTGCTGCAGTGGGACTGAATGGCAGAAGTAATTTGCCATCAAATTCCTGGACAGCTGATCTGAGTCCTGAGAATCCGTGCCTGTCAGGGGACCAGTGACACCTCTTCATAGGAGGTGATATCCTCAGGGCAGCATCAGCAGGCCTGGCTGTGATGGCTCTGAGTCCAAGGTCACTGAAAGGAGGCAATCCCTGCCCGTGTCACAGGGATTCTCTGTGCTCTGGGATGTTTCGGCATGATTTGGGGATCTGTATTCCCACCCTCTTCTGACAGAAGCCCTGGCTCCTGAGGCGGAGGGAGGATTCCTCCGCTGTGCCTGAACAGAGCTGAGAGCATTTGTCACGGTGCAGGGTAACTGGGCTGGCAGCTATTGTGGGCAGGGTTGGATCCCCAGTGCTGGCACCGCAGCCCTTGGCCAGCCCTGAGCTCACCATGCTTTCTTGGCCATCACAGGTGGACAGCCGGACCGAAGAGAATGACATGAACAAGCGGAGGCGGAAGGGCTTCAACAACCTGGATGAGGTTCGTGTGCTCAGCGTCGGTTTACACAAAGGCCTGTTTCCTGACAGCCAGTGGCCACAGCCCACTTGCCTGACCGAGGCAGTCTCCCCGCCCTTCTTTCTTTCCTCTCATGAACCGCTGGGTGCCAAGCTTAGCTTGATGGGAAAGCAGTCGGGTCTGGTCACTAGCTATGTCACTCTCCCAGGGTGTGGCTCATGTCTGTAAAACACAGATGTTGCATTTGAAATGTAGGACATTTTGCAGAATTTTCAAAGATTAAATAGTAGGCATAGGAGGAACATACCTCAATATAATAAAGGCCATATACAACAAACCCAGAACAAACATTATTCTCAGTGGTGAAAAACTGAAAGCATTTCCTCTAAAATCAGGAAACAAGACAAAGGTGCCCACTCTCACCACTATTATTCAGCATAGTTTTAGAAGTCCTAGCCATGGCAATCAGAGAAGAAAAAGAAATAAAAGGAGTCCAGGTTGGAAAAGAAGGAAGATTCTCAGTCTGCAGATGACAAGATTCTCTACATGCCAGAGTCAAGATTAAACAAGTTTTAATTTAATCTTAAAGATTACATTAGAGGATGTGTAAGCATGCATGCATGCACATACCATACCAATCATGGTCTCTGGCACCTAGGTTAATCAAGATATAACCACTGTTAATAGTAAGTAGTAAAGAGGCACCAGCAGTCCCACTATTCTCCCAGTCCTCATTTCTACTTTTTGTGCTTTCTGTACCATTAGTCTTTAAGGGGAATGTCCCAGCACCCACAAGTGCCACCTTCTGGTGAAAGAAGAAAGTTACAGGCTACTTTGTCAAAGCCAAGCAGGACTAGCTCTCTCCTGCTACTGAAAAATTGATCAGAAGAAAGAGTACCAGTTCTTGCTTCCCCGGGCAGCTCTTTAAAGAGACCTGAGATATATCCCTCATTCCAAGTGAAAGAAAGTAAAAGTCGCTCAGTCGTGTCCTACTGTTTGCGACCCTGTGGACTATACAGTCCATGGAGTTCTCCAGGCCAGAATCCTGGCATGGGAAGCCTTTCCCTTCTCCAGGGGGTCTTCCCAACCCAGGGATCGAACCCAGGTCTCCTGCATTGCAGGCGGATTCTTTACCAGCTGAGCCACAAGGGAAGCCCAAGAATAGTGGAGTGGGTAGCCTATCCCTTCTCCAGTGAATCTTCCTGACCTAGGAATCAAACTGGGGTCTCCTGCATTGCAGGCAGATTCTTTACCAACCGAGCTATCAGGGAAGCCCCACACCTTATTCCAAAAAGCCATTCTAATCCACAAAAGCAGGCTAGATACTGTGTAAATTTTAAGAATACCAGCTTTAGCTAGCCTACTGGCTGATGCCAAAACAATGACTCAACGGCACAGGGATAATTTGTAGGATACATTCGTACTTGATTTATAGGACTTAGAAAAAAACTTCTTTTACTTATATGATTGAGAGCTGTTGCTCTTGGGTCTGGTGTGAGCAGGAAGCCAGCTGAGAGGAGGAAGCCATGGCTGAGAAACATCCCATTCTCTAGTTATGGGGCGCTGCCTCTGCTCTAAGTGCCTATGATTTGTTCCCGCCTCCTCCCAGGAAGCTTCCCTTGGATACATTTTGTCCATGGGGAAGTCTTCTCCTGCCTTTCATCTGTGCCTCATCTGAGGGGGTGTTTGTACTGTTTCTGTTGCTGGCAGCACAGCAGTCAGTGTGGGAAGAAATCTGGTCGCACCTGCCTCTTCTGAAATGGCTCTATTTTCTTGGCCAGCTATTTGCTTAAGTGAGATTTAACCAAGCAATAATTCCCTCTAAATTCTTACTACTCGAAGTGTGAGCCAAGAACCAGGGCACCAGTATCACCTGGCAGCTGGTTAAAAATGCAGACTCTCAGGGCCCACCCCAGATCCACTGAATCCAAATCTGGTTTTAAAGTGATTCATGAGCACATGAATGTCTGCAAAGGGCCTGTCTGCATGACCCACTGTCCTGGCCTACTTTGGGCTGTACAAACAGTGACCAGCCTAGTAAACTTGCCCTATTCACACTCAAGACTGGATTGCTATGCAGAGTTGCAGTTCCCGCTTTGAAGTGGGGAGTGACTCTTTGATTTGTGTTTGTCCAACTCTTCAGAGTGGCTGTGCATACTAGGTTTCCCATGGGGCTGCTACACTTAGGGAATCTTAAAAAAAAAACAAAAAACAAAAAAAACAATTGACTATAGCTTATCTCTTCTCATGAATTTCTTCTAAGTGAACATATCTTTGTTTTGAGAACATCTGTTCCTGTAAGGGAGATGCATTGTCTCCTTGGGAAAACTGACTGCCCTCTTGACATGACAATGCCATTTGTATTTTTGAGGCTGATGGGAGCAGATCTATGGTACCAGGGAACAGACATTTACTGGACAGCAATCAGTTTCGATGTCTTATTTTTAGCAGATGAGCTAAGAAAATCTTAGATGGAATTCCATTTTATAAGGTAGCATAACCAAGCAGTCAAGGTCAGCCTCTAAACAGTCACAAGTCATGTTGATATCATGTATCCCAAAACAAAGCAATGAGAAGGACCTCTCACCTCTGTGACATCCTTCCTCAAAATCCCTAACTCTAGTCTAATCATGAGCAACCATCAGTCCTACCCAGATGGAGGGACTTTGTACAAAATAGCTGACCTGTGTCCTTCACAACTGTCAAGGTCATGAAAGACAGAGAAAGATGGAGAGACTGTTACAGATGGGAGGAGGTGGAGGAGGCGTGATGATTAAATGCAGTGTGGGATCCTGGATTGTATCCTGGAACCTAAAAGGACATCCGTGGGAAACTGGTGCAATCTGAATCAAGTCCATAGTTCTGTTAATGGTATCATGCCAGTGTTAATTTCTTGGGTTTGATAACAGTAACATGATTATTCCATATGTTAATATTAGGTACAGCTGCATCTGTGGTATACAGGAGCTATCTGTGCTGTCTTTGTAACTTTTCTGCCAGTCTAAAATTATTTCAAAATTAAACTTTTTTAAAAAAGATAGAAACAACAGGACAGGGCTGGTTGCCATTGGGCGTGGGGTGCAGAGGAGAGAGGGGAAGCTAGGCACCTGTGCGTTGCCCCACTGACACCCCCTCTTGCTTCGTTCACCCCCACTACTCTTCACCTCTTGTCAGCCACGTGATGGGTTTGGAAACTGTTCTGTTCATCATTTCATTATTATATTTTGTTTTTGCAACAGTTACGCGAGGGTGGGTTTCTGCTCCCATTTTACAAACGAGGAAACGTCAGAGAAGTCAGAATTCAAACACTGTCTGGCTCGCAAGCCTGGCTGTGCCCACCTTTGGAGAACCATGTCCCACCTTTGAGCATTGTCTCCACTGGGCGTTGCCTGCTGTGTCTGCCTCATTTTCTCAGACCATAGAGGGTGTCCTTCTTCAGGAACTCTCCCTGTCGTGAGCCCCCAGGCCTACCCCATGATATCTGGGTTCCGGATCCAACAACCAATGCACTGATTTGGCCTTTGCAGCCTTCAGCCTTTTCCAGCCAGAGCTTGGGCTCCAATCAAGAGGGCATTAAGGAAGGTGGAAATCAGAACAAAGTCAAGTCCATGGCAAGTCAGCTGCTGGCCAAGTTCGAGGAGAGCTCGCGGAACCCCTCAATCCTGAGGCAGGTGAGTCCTGTCAAACATCCACTGACCTTGCCTTCCTGGTGACCGGAGCCTGCTGAGAAGCCAGCAAATGTCAGGCAAGTGCTGGACTTCAGGTATGCCAGCCAGTCCTGGCTCAAAAGGAGACTCGAGCTTCTTCTTGATCTGGAGTCAGACTTTCCTAAAAGGGACCAGATAGCAAGAATTTTAGACTTTAGGGTCGATGTGATCTCTCTTGCCATGACTCAGCTCTGCTATAATGGCAGAGTTGAGTCACTGTGAAGGCAGCCATGAGCAGTATGTCAACAAATACATGTGGCGGTGTGCCAATAAAACTTTATTTACAAACACAGGCAGCAGGCTGGATTCAGCCGAGGACTGTAGTTTGCTGATGCCTGTTTTATTGGAGATAAAATCCTTGCCCTGACTTTGTTTTGCTTTGCAACCATGGCTGGGTTTATAGTCATCTTTGAGATGGTGCAGCTGGAGGAAGCTTTAGAGATGCTGACTGTCTGAAGGTCTAAGTCCATGGTGAAAACCCCGTCCAAACCAGGGGAACTGAATCACAGATCTTAGTGCCATGTAGGCCTACAGGAATGGAAACCAACCCCCTGAGTGTACCCTGGTGCTCCTCTCTCCTTGTTCCCTTGGGTCAGGCTGGCAGGACTGTTTGTCTGACCAGGGTCTGTGTAAGGCTGAAGACAGTGGGATGCTGTGGGTCAGGCCACAGGCCCGGCTCTCTTATCTCAGACTCCGACTTGGAGTGTGCACTTGCGCGGTTTCATTTGCTCCCCTGAATTTCTTTGGGACACCACTGCCACATTACAAAAGGTTGGGACAAGGGGTTCAGTTTGCCTTTGGAGAATATCCGTCACATGACAGAATTAGGCCCCTCTCAGGAGAAGGAGTAACTCTTGGTTAATTTGGTTCAGAGGCAATCATAGACATCTTTCTAGTCTTGATGTAGATCATGCCCCTTCTGAAAAAACTGACCTCCCCCAGGAAGCCAGGTTTTATCATAAGGAGGTTTCTGAGATTTGTAACTGTCCGAATTGTTTTCTCAACTGGCCTTTCTGGAGGCTTGACCGCTTGTGGTCCCCAGGTGTTGATGAGGGCTCTCTTTCTTCAGAAGGACTGTAGCATCCCTATCATCTAATGGGCAGGAGGGACTTTGGGACTAGCCCCCCTTGCCTGGCACAGGCTCTGGCAGTGCCTGCTCAGTGCCCCGGTCCGAGCCAAAAACACTGCCTCCTGGGGACACACACGTTGTCTAAGAGAAAGGGGCCATGGGACTAGCTGTTACCAGGGACAGAGGGCTGGGGTTCACGTTTTCCAGCTGGGCACAGCTTGTCAGAGCTCAGCCCTGGGCTTGCTCGGCATCTGCAAACTCTGTCTCCCTGCTTCTTCTCCTCTCCTCCTCCAAGTGTCTCAATCTGACTCACCTTTTCCTTCCTATTTCCTGTGCCTGCTTTTTTTCGGACTCACCTTCCTCCTCCCAGGAGCACCGTGTCTCAGGGATAGGTAAGCCTATACTGCGCTCTTCCTCTGACCCTCCTGTTAACTCTCGTTGTCCCAAGCCGGAGGAGCCCACACCCAGCCCATCACCAACCCTGAAAAGGCAGGTAGGACTCCTTCCAGTGGATGCCGTCTTGGTGAAGCCAGAGGGAACTTTGATCCAGAGGGGTTGGGGTTCATGGCTCTCTCTGCACCCCACTTAGGGCTGAGTGTAGATTCTCTGGGAAGGCAGATACAACTTGAGGTTACCACCCTTATAGGTAAGAATAACCAAGGATGCAGCATCTTAAATACATGCCAGTCAGCGATATCAGCTGACCAACTACCATGCTTTCAGTGCTTTATTTGTTTAGGAAAAAACAGACCACACCACACAGGGTATTTTGTGTAGTGCCCCTGGGATACTCAGCTTGTTTGCAGATCTCTTGAGTAGACTGATTTCTAAGTTGATGGGGAAAAGTGGCAGTGATGATGGAATGGGCTCAGGTGGCCAGTTAGCCATATGCCATTGATGTGGTGGGATGTGATGAAGACCTCCCAGGTGCCCCAAGGACCTGAACTGCCCAGTGGGTAGGGAGGCAGCCGGGAGCCATGGGCTGAGGCTTTTTTCCAGTTAACACCTCTGGGTTTGGAATTAGAATCACTGTTATTGACACAGCACTCAAAACTACTGGACAGCATTAGGAATTTTGTGTTGCTTCCAAGGGTGGGGGTGGCGGAAGTCAAAGGAGGTCCGTGTGGATAGTGCAGTGATTTTATGTCCCTGAGTATAAGAATCATCTAGAGAGTTTTATTTAAAAATGTCCATCTCTGGTACCCACCCCCAAACCAATTAAAGCTGACTCTCTGGGGGTTGAGCCCTGACTTTCAGAACCAGGACAGTACAGGTTCTGATTTGGGGGGTCTGGAGTGTTGTCGATAACACCCCAGATGGTATTGTTAAGGAGGCTATCAGGTGATTCTGATGCAGGTGGTGAGAAGTCAACACTCAAGGTTAGTTTGGAATCTCACTCAAGGTGGCACGTGGCATACCCTTGTCCCTGATCCTGGTGGGGATTCCTCACAGTGAGTGGTGGGAGGGGTCCATGAGAGGGCCTTCCTCGGGAAGGAAGCTTGATTTTCCGTCTCCCCTAGTTCCCCTCCGTGGTTGTGACAGGGCATGTGCTCCGAGAGCTAAAGCAAGTGTCTGCTGCTGGCGAGTGTCCAACCAGGCCCTGGAGAGCCCGAGCCAAGTCTGACCTGCAACTGGGTGGGCCAGAAAACCTTGCCAGCCTGCCTCCCACCTGCCCGGGAGCGCTGGCCCTCTCTGGGGTGCTGCGGCGGCTGCAGCAAGTGGAGGAAAAGGTTCTCCAGGTGAAAGCCTCGTTCTTTGCCCTGCCTCTGCCCTGCCCGTGACTTTGCCCTGCCTCTGCCCTGCCTGTGTCTGGGATGCCTGCCTTCCCCCGCCCCTCCTGCCCAGGGTGGGTTCCTCTTCCGACTGCTCCTCCCCATCTCTCATCCTGCCTGCCCTGTGTACTGAGCACAGCAAGCCCACCTGGCTGCCTTTCCGCCTCTCTTCCAGAGGGAACCCTCACCATCTCTGTCACTGTCTCTTTTTTCTTTCTCCTTTCTCACCTCGGCTGCAGAAAAGGGCTCAGAACTTGGCCAACAGGGAATTTCACAAAAAGAACATTAAGGAGAAGGCGGCTCACCTTGCCTCCATGTTTGGACACGGGGATTTCCCACAGGTAAATGCAGGGCTTTCAGAGCCCCTGGGAACCCAGGTGTTGGACCTGTGGGGAGATGACATGAATCAGTCTCTGGAGCTTCGTTTCTTCCTTCCTCCACCCTTTATAGTCTGTAAAGCTATTTACTTTTCAAGTCACCGAAGGCTTTGGACTGGCATCTAAAAAAGCTCCAAATGAGGAGACTCAATAAGTAGATAAATCAGGACAAAGGGAAAACCAAGGCAGAAAAGCAGGCTCAGGTCACAGGAAAATGGAAGCATGTGTACTATAAGGTCTTAGCTTCTGAGTAGGCTGAGCTTCCTAGGGGTCAACACAAAGAGGGAAAGCTGGCCCACTGCAGAAATCACATCACGGTGCCTTTAAAGTGAAAGCAAACCAGTTGCTCATGATGTTTGGCAGCATAGTGGAGAAATACCACTATAGCCTTGATCCAGAAGACCCTGAATGTCAAGGTCAACCACAGGCCATAACCTGCTCTGCTTTCCCAAAAGGCAGCACCAGCCAGACAGAATGGCCTTGCCTTAGAATAGGAAGCACAGCCCAGTCCCGGCACTTAGTTAGAAACCTGCTGAGAAGAAGAGTATGTGCTTGCAAGGAGATGACAGAGTTGAGGGTGAGGACCCACGGTACGTGCATGTGTAAGGTACTCCCATGCCTGCAGCAAGCCTGGTCTCTAGAACACACCTCTGTGGCTTTCACTCGGCCTCCTCCAGACCTGTGTTCTCTGCTACTGGGCAGAGCATAGGCATGGGAAGAATACTCTGCCATTCGTCCATTTCCGGGGTTCTCTGCGGTTGCAGAGGCCCCTGCTGGGGCATGTGCCCCAGAGCCGCCTGCAGTTGTCCTTTCCTAAACTTGAAGCTGCTGCTTTATACCAAGCTCCGGGGTGAGGCCTTCAGGAGTTCGTGTCTATGTTCATGTCAGGAATAGGATGGCTCTGCTCTAGCTATTTTGTGATGAGGGAGCCAGAATAGCTGTAACAGAGTGCATTGTAACCAGGAACTAGACAGTCCTGCTGGGCTCCAAAGATACAGGTTACGTATTTGTCCTGAGACAGGAGCCTGGATATCCTTTCCTCTCCTTGGATGTGTAGATTAGGGGGCTAAATCATCGAGGCAAGCATCACTGTGCATTTCCCTACGGATAATCAAAGTTTCCTCTGTTTCTGTTCTGTGCAGAATAAACTACTCTCTAAAAGCCTGTCTCATACTCATCCTACGTCTTCTCCCTCCTGCCTTCCATCTCCTGATTCAGCTGCTACTTCCTCTCCATCAACTGTTGACTCTGTTTCTCCTGCCAGAAAGGTAGTTATCCCAAACAATTGGCTTCCCCTACTCCTTGCATGTTCTTAGATATTCTCCTCCTCTGCTCAGCCTGCTCAGACAACCATCTGAAGCTTGGCTTGGCTGGGATGAAAATTTATAAGGTCCTTTACAACAGTCCTGAGTTTGGTTTTGGTTTTGTGTTGGAGCAAGAAACTAAACAGAACAGACAGCACACAAAACCTTATCAAATGGTGCTTACTTGTCTAGCAAGCACTTTCTGAGCACCCACTATATGCTAACCATCATGCCAGATGCTGGGAAGACAAAGAGGAGGGAGGTATAATTCTCTTACTATGGTGTAGATGACAAACAGCATATTAGCACAGAGATGTCTCACATTTTACATATGATATTGCCAATATTTGGCTATTTTTTACATAACAAGACAGTCTCACATGGTGGACCTCAGACAATACTATTGATGAATTATGTGAGAGGTTTAAAAGGAAGATTCTAAGAACCCAGAATGGTGAAGCCTGGGAAGGCTTCACAGAGGAGGTAATATGGGAGCCAAGTGTTGAAGATTATATGGAGGGATTTTGCTAGAAAGAAGTGTAGGGGAAGGGCATTTTCAAAAGGATCTGGCATGTGGTAAGGAAGGCAGATAGGACTTGCATGAATGGAAAGACAATTCTGGTGCAACTTGATTTGGGAATAAAAGTATAGGAGTGTGGAGAGTAAGAGTGAAAGTCAGTCTACTTTCTTTGTGTTAAAGGAATTCATTCCATCCTCATAAAGAGTCACTGCAGCATCTGCTCTGAATTCTAGACGGGCACAGGCAGCGGTGCAGAGGGTGGAGAACTGGTGGGAGCCAATGTTGGCTGAGTAGATAAAGTTATTCAGTTCGGGTTCTAGAGCACTTTTCATGTCTTTCATTTGTCTGCCTGTTACCTAATATGCCAAGAACACTACCAGGCTGGGGTGGGAGAGGGGCAGCCTCTGGAGAAGCTTAGCCCCTGTAATGGGCGAGTCTAAAAATGGAGTGAAGTGCACTTGTTCAGCTACCGCTCATGACAGGAAGTCAGAGCCTCTTTCTGGAGGACTGTGCTCCCCTGAACACCTCTATCCTGTCTACCCCTACTAGGGCTCATCTCCACGTGTGGTGCTGAGTGTGCCCATGGCGGAGTCACCACTCATTTGTTTCCACTCTGTTAGACAAACCAGAAATCCACTGGGCTGTTCCCTGGGCTGTTGCATCAGTGGGATGTTAGGAGCTGCCTCCTGGGAGTCCCACCCCCACTGACCCCCATTACTGTGGGGAGAAGAGTGCAGGCAGGGTCTCCAAGGAAGGAGCAAGGAGCCTTAGCAGCCCCACCCACTCCATGGTCCCCAGTGTAGGTGTGAAGCCTCCCTGGAGGGGAAGCTGGGGGTGATGTGGGGAAACAAACACTTCTCATCTTCAGTTCTACTGAACATAGCCATGGCTGAGATGCCCAGCGACTTGTTCCAAGTCAACTTTGGTCAGCGGTTTAACCTTAAGTCTCCTGACCTTAGGGAGTCTCCATTTTCTCATCAACAAAAGAGTGACTCTTGGCTCATCTGATAGTGACCTCTGTGGTTAGAGACTGGCAGGCATATTGGTCGTCACCATCACCAAGGCTACCGAGTAGCCTTTGGGAGAAGAACCTTCCCTGGTGGGTACTTCCTGCTATAGAAAAGGTCACTGGTGCCCTGGCCAGGATGATGGGAGGGGCGAGGGCACCTAGGCACGCAGGCAATGACCGGTGCTCCTAGCTGGGCAGCTGGGCCCACACTGTGCTACTGCCTGGCCCAGACCCTTTCCTGCTAGCCCTGGGCTTGCCCTTTCTTTTGTCCTTAGGGAAGGCCTGGCTTGGTCACTGTCCTCTCAGATTTGAGAGCAGAGATAGTACAAGAAAAGGGACCACACTTCCCAAGCTCCCTGACTTGGTTTCCAGAAGGTATTCATTCTCTAGGTGATGGCAAGAGGCAGCCTGCCCAGGTACACGCAGGGCCACTGGGTCTGGCAAAGACACTTCTTATAGTGAGAATACCCCGTCGTTCATCATCTGACTCCACTGAGGCCCTTGGCTGCTTCTCCACTGTGCCCTTCAAACAGCTTTAAATCAGCATCACTCATTAAGCCAATGAGTGAGCATTCATTCATCCAACACATATTTATTGAATGACAAGCTGGTGTCAGGCATTTCACTCTTGGGATACACATCAGTTATCAGGGGTTACCTTCCTGCCCTGATGAGGCTTGCATCCTAGTAGAGGGAGGTTTAAATAATCTATAATATCTAGGTAAATTATATGATGTATCAGAAGACAGTTTTTCCCATGGGAAAATGAGAGCAGGTAGCAAAGACTTGGCATGCTGGGGGAAGGTCGCAATCTTAAATGGATAACGGTGGGAGGGCTGTTCCTGGGAAAGAGAACGAAGCAGGAACAGAGTCTCAGAGGAGAAAACAAAGGCACAGGGAGGAGACTAGTTCCCAGGCTCCTGATTCTAGCCTGTGTTCTCTCCTCTGTACCACAGAAGCCACGTGTGAATGGAGGCCTTGCCAGAGCGAACAGCCCAGAGCCTATGTGCATAGAGCCCCAAGCCCAGGCTCAAGGAGGGCTGCAAATGGGGTGGGTGGGCTTCAGGGACTCCTGGGGCCCCCACCTCTACAGCTCTGTTCTCTGTTTCTCCCAGGTTGGGGTAGAACAATTGCTCCCTATTATTTCTTATCCCATCTCCCTAGCTAGTCTCGGCCATCAGATGATGGTGTCATTGAGCAATTTCCATAGCTTCTGACTTACTAATTACAGGCTGATGAGCCTGTCACTGGGAGTGATTGGGGAGTTCTCAGAAAAAGGTCACCGTGCGACACTTACCCTGTCTGTGGACTTGGACTTGATACCCACAGACCCCTCCACATCTCACCATGAAGCCGTTGTAGGCAGTTAAGCACGGTGTGGTGAATTTCTAGCTTCCAGCAGTCTTGGAAAGGATCTTGCCAGCTGCACTGCTCCCTTGCCCCCACCTGCAACTTCCCCACCTTGCCCAGACCCCACCATTGATTACACTCCAGGCTCTGCACATGCAGAATCTGGCAGAGTTATGGCCTCCTCTGAGGAGAGACTCTGCTGCCCCTTAAAGCAGGTGACAACCTGGTGACAATTTCCTTCTGTCCTGATGGAGCTCAGAGAGCCGCTGCCCTGGAGAGAGCCTGGGGCCTTTACACTTCTCCCCAGCAGATTCTGGGGCTGCTCTGATGCCCAGAGACTGTATGTGCCTCAATTCAGGGGAGCCAGAGAAAGGAAAATGCTCTTGGAAACTGATGCTTGGTTCTTGGTAACCTCCTGGCAGGCCGAGTGTTTCTGTTCCTGCTCTAGAGCCCTATACCTTAATTCTGAGGATCCAGGGATAATCACCTCCTCTTAGAAACAGCCCTAGTCAAACTTGTCATGAGGAACACATGTTACAGGGATGCAAACTTGGGTCACCGAGTCCAAGAAATATAGCTAGGGTTCTACCTTTAGACTACACTTGCCTGACCTCTCAGTTGACATGCTGCCTTAAATTTCAGTGTGATGCAGCTAGGTTTTTGGCCTGAATAGTCACAAGACATCTTGAGGTCCTCTCATTTTGGGCCCAAATTCTTACCGGGGTCTTTTAAGTTATTTTTTTAAGACCGTGGGCTATGGGATCATGCCCAGTCTGATCATTCATACCACCAAACCAGTCCTCCTGTAGCTCCATTGAAAGTGAAAGTGAAGTCACTCAGTTGTGTCCTACTCTTTGAGACCCCATGGACTGCAGCCCACCAGGCTCCCCCGCCTATGGGATTCTCCAGGCAAGAATACTGGAGTGGGTTGCCATTTCCTTCTCCAGGAGATCTTCCCAACCCAGGGATTGAACCTGGGTCTCCCGCCTTGTAGGCAGATGCTTTACCATCTGAGCCACCAGGGAAGTCCCTAGCCCCCATCAACCCTTAGTTAACTTCTTTCTTCAGTGCAGGAGGCCACTGCCAGTTTAGCCTTTAACAGGGCTGCTAGCCGCTTACCAAGGCTGGGGAGCTCTTGCAAGATCACGATGGCAGCGTATTTACAAGACTGAACCAGAGGGAGGGCCTCCAGGGGCTGCGGACTGCAGTTTAGTCCTCCTGGGTCAGAAGAGCAATGCACATTGCAAAAGGAGCTTTCTCTACCCTGGGGGTGTTTGTTTTAAAACTGGATTTGCAGGGTTTACTCTAGAGATTTGCATATTAGAGAGAAGCTGGGTGAGTCTTAGCTGGGCAATCTGCCAGTGTTTCATCTGATAACAAGGGTAGAGTTCAAGGCTGGCTCCAACCTCATTGTTCTCTCTGCTCTGGGAATAGAGCTAGGCAATCCTTTGGAGGTAAACTGTGTGCATCCCAGCCTGGGGGATTTTAATTCGCAGAGAGGCAGGAGCTGTAGTGAGCAGGATGTAGGCTGGGACTACACCCGTAGGTTCAGCACGCAGATGACTTGCTTACTCGCAGTGTGGCTTTGGATGAATTAGTAGACCTCTCAGCACCTTAGTTTCCTAATCTTCAGAATGGAGGTGGCAGCAGCTACTCCTGAGGGTGATTGGAATAATGCAAAGACCTAGCATGTATCCAGTCCCTCGAATATCCAATAACTGTGATATTTCCCCAGTGGAGGAGAATTCTGGAAGAAAGCTCACTTACTTAAAATGCATGTTGATTCCTCTCTTTCTAAAGGCAAAGAAGTCACCTTCAGATTTCCATTTCCTACCCAGCCACTTAGGAACATTGCGGCCTCAGGTGAGTTAGAGTCTCCCTGAACCACAGCGACCCTGTCTGCAAAGGGGGATTATCAGACCCAGCTCGCGAGGCCGTGAGGGTTCAATGCAGCTCAGTGCCTGGCACCAGGGGAAACCGGTGCCCACTGGGAGGTCACCGCCCCTAAGACCTGCCTGCATCTCAGCTCTGAAGGCATCATTTCAGAGCCCCTCATATAAGGCAGTTTCAATCCTTGCCCTGAGCATATGGCTGAGGACTCAGGCATACCAGTCTGTCATCTGATTTGCCTCCTCCTCAAGGAGGAGTGTATTCCTATTTGCCCAGGAGACCTCCCCTGGCCCTATATGTCGAAACCTCCGCTTCCCTCAAGCTCTCAGCTCCGAGGCCCTGGAAACTCTGTCCCTAGCCCTGACTAACCCACGTGGGTTTCCTGACCCTCACGGCAGGTCAGGCGGAGAAGTACAGCCTGGACACCTGGTATTCTGGGCTGAGTTCCAGGCCCAAGGGGGATGTTACCGTTGTCTGGACGCAAACAGACCCAAGCGCCTGCTTCCTCCTTCCTTCAGAGCATCTGTCCTGTGCCAGGAGTGTAGAGATGAGAAAGACAGGGTTAAGATATCAGGGAGTGCAAACAAGAGCAGAGATGACCCATCTCCCAGCTTGGAGCAGGGTAAGAAAGGTTCCCATATCCAGACAGGGACGTGCTTGGTGATGGTGCTTGTGCCGACCACTAATGTCATCATGTTTGAATCTCAGTTGACGCGAGAAGCAGAGGGAGAAGCCAGTGCATTTGTCTGGGTGGGCTGTATTATTCTTACTCATGCAGAGGAGGGAACACAGCAACTGTAAGTTCCTTTGTCTGAAGGCCACCCAGGAGAGGAGAAAAGAAGTTCCAGAACATGGAAAATTGAAGCGGCATCAGTGGTGGTGCTTTGGACTCATTAACCATCTGCCAGTCGGTTCTTGGGAACCCAGCACCCTGTTAGGTGTAGCCCAGATTCTCTGATGACTCTTTCACAGCCCTGTGAGGATGGCAGTGGTCTCCCCATTCTACAGACGAGGAAGCTGAGGCTTACAGAAGGGAATTGATGCATGTGAAGTTAACCTAATGTAAAGTTAGATGATGGCCCACCTGAAGTGTCCAACCATTCCAGCTTGTCCTAATTAATTAGCTGAAAAAAACTAGAATTTCCAAGAGGAAAAAAATACCCCATATAGTATTTTGGTTTTTCTTTTTAAATCTCTAATCCATGGTGGCCTGATTCTTCCAGATACAATGAAAATGAATTACTAGAAATATGATCACACACTTGGACATGTGGCTATGTTGAACTGCTCTATAAGTGTCTAATGCTTTCACTTACTTTGTTCCTTGGATCACAGATCAGTTTCTGTTAGTGAAAAATATCCCAGTTCTTAAAAAATGATAAAACTATTGAAAGATACATAAAGGGTGCAAAAGCAGTCCCATGGCCCTCCAAAATTACCATTTCTTAAAAAACCAGTGACTGTGACATGTTCGTTTCTGATGAGGTCATCTGATTGCCCAGCTTTGGATTTGGAAAAAGTATCCCCAGCCAAATTGTAAGCTTTCCTTTTGACCAGCTCCCCAGGAGCATAGGTGCTTTTGCCTTCCAGTGCAGTAATCTCCTTGTTGAGAACCTCTGGCTTCTAGATTCTTACTCTGAGGTCGAACCATAATGAGTTTTCTGGAGGTTTCTCCATGCGTGGAGTTTCTTTTCTTCCTCAGGATGCCCAGGACCCATTCATTTCCAGATTGGCTAGAACAGTGCTACTTAAAGTGTGTTCCATTGGCAGGAACTAGTCTGTGATCCAAGGAGCACAGCAAGTGAGAAGGAAGCATTAGATACTTGTAGCGCAGTTCAACATAGCCACACATCCAAGTGTGTGTTCATATTTCTAGTAATTCATTTTCATTGTATTCGGAAATATCAAGCCACCATGGATTCGAGATTTAAAAGAAAAACCAAAACCTAGTCATCTACCGCTGACCATTTGAGGAGCAGTGAGTTAGCATGAGTCCAGGTGGTCAGGTCTGCACTGTCTTGGAGCCAGGAAGACATCCTACCATCAGGAAATGGGAGATAACCGGAGACTCCAGGGCAACGTCCTCCTTCACTCTGGCCTTTGGGGTGGCCTCCTCTAACCCCTGAGACAAGTTCTCCATCACCTGGTCCCCTAGTATCCTTTCAGGAAGTCCTGGTCCACCTCTTCATCTCGGTGTTCCTGGCATGGTTTCCAGGACACAGTTGGGAAGGGCCTATGGGAGCACCAGTGTTGCTTTCCCTGAGGGCGCCTTCATTTCATTATTCCTAGGAAAACCGCTGTCATAGGTGGGCCTGTGGATGCAACTGGGAGAACGGAGTCTCTTATGACTAAGGGCCCACAATGAAAGGAAGGACAGGGCTTGGTCTTCATCCTGGATCCCTTGTGCTGATAGAACAGCCGAGCAGGCCCACGACTGCACAGACATGCTTTGGCGGCACCCCCAGCCACCCCAGGGCTCTCTGCTTGCTTCTATAATTGCTCATAAGTCAGGATTGCACGGAAGCTCAGGCGCACAAAGTGCTTATTAGCTAAGTAGTTAATAAGGTCTCATTAGGGACTTGTATTTAAAGCCCCAGAAAGTAGAGTCTCCCTCTCTGCTCACTCAAGGGAGGCAGTAATTGTGCGTGGGTATCTGGCATCACACAGTGCCTTCCTGGGAGAGCTCCTCAGAGCCAGTTCACACATGGGATCAGGAGAGACAGTCACGCAAGGGGAGTATGGACAGTGAGGTAAATCTGACATCCTCTGATTTATTTTGCTGTAAAGCCAGGAAGTACTTGGTATTCTCAGTTCCTATCCGAGGAGGCCTGTGTTGGAGGCCCCAGCAGGGGGTGGAACATCAGGCAAATAATGGCTTATTGTCCAGAGCCAGTGCACCTGAACTTCTCTTAGGAGCAGGAGCCAAGTTTCTTGGCGTTTGTGAAATCCTGAAAATGGCAGCGTGTATGCTCAGAAGCAAAATCCTAATCTCTTCCAGATGGGGCCAGTTTTGAGAGTAGGGAGGGGTAAGTGGCCTGGCAGCTGCTGCGACTGAAAAGGAGTGAGCTTTGTGAAGTCTGAGGGGTCCCATCTGTCTGGGATCAGACACCCCAGAAGGTCCCCGGCCATATCTTCCATAGTTCCCCAGAGAGCCCCACACATGGTCTGGCATGACTGATCCAAAGTAGCTGCTGGTGTTGGGGCTTCCTTAATGAGAAGTGAGCAGGTATCCCCTGGTCATGTCTTTCGCCCCAGCCTGCTTGGCAGCCCTTCCCTCTTCATCCTCTTTTTGTACCTGTGCGTTTGTTGGTGCCCAATGAGTTGGCCTCAGGTTCTGAGGGTGGGCCCTGCTTCCAGGAGGCAGGACCTGTGGGCACTTGCTGCCATCTGCTTTGCTGTCCCTTAGCTTCCTGCTTTATCTTTGAGGCTTTCACAGTGAATTCAGTGTGGCCTTCCAAGAGCAGTCCTGGGTTTAGATTGAGGGCCTTCCTTTGTCCCCTCGCAAGTCACTGTTACTTGCTGTGAAGATGGCTATCAACCTGTGACTGAGGGCCAGCAGCCTACACTGCTGCTGTCTGTGGCCACATCTCCCAGAAGCTGGATTCAGAGGCTGGGGAGCATCTGGAGCCTCCCTCCCTCCAGGGTCTTAGGATCAGGAGCCGTGTTTACAGATACAGTCTCATACTGTGCATGTTTGCCTCCCTGCAGAGGAGACTGCAATATTCCCGGGCTGGCCTTTCAGAGCTGGTGGGGAAAGAATAAGCTGGGATTTGCCTGGGGGTGTATGTGTGATTGTACCACATCTGCTTGGATTGTCAGCTCTCACCCCTTCCCAGCTCCATGACACACCAGTGGGGATCCAGGCATTCACGGGTAGGCACGGGCCATCATGCCTTCGGGAGCACAGGCACCCACAACCCATCAGGCTGTGGTCTCCAGGCCAACGAGGAACTGACTTGCCCAGCACCAGCTCTGGGGCCCTGGGCACTGCCACCTGGAGCTCCCTGTCCTACTCCCTGCCCAGTGGGGACCACCGTCCATTCCCATTTCGGCCACTCTTTACTGGCAAGGTAGTCAGCGTCCTGACCTAATAGAACTGAAGTCAGGCATAGCCACAGCTCCTTAGGGGACGCAGGGGCTGCAAGGGAGGCTGGGGCTGCCAAATTCAGAGGGAGAAGGGAGGAGGAGTCAAGTTCATCTTGGCCCAGCCCTGCCAAGTGCCCGACAGTCACACACATGCTTTCTTGCCACAGCTCCACGAGGTAGGCACCATTTATTCCCATTTCACTAAATGCGGACACTGGGCTCAGAAGTTGAGGGCTTTGTGTCCCATCTTAGAACCGTTAGTGGTAGAGCGCGGTCCTAACCCTCCTGATCTGGGGAAATGGGGAACAGGTCTCGCTATGTAGCCACTCCAGGCCCTCTAGCGAGGAGTCGTCTTGGGAAGGTCAGTTTCAGTGTAGCGGGCTTGTTTTCTTAGTGTGAAGGTCCCCCAGCTGGGGTTCAGGAGACCTTAGCAGAGCCCTGGATCTTGCACTGATTTCTAAGTGGCCTTGGATAGATCCCTTCCTCCAGGATTGATTCTCCCTATCTGTGAGCTGAGTAAGCAGAACTCCAGAAGACCGTGTACACCCAGTGGATGTAGTTGTGAATCGCCCCGCTGATCTCTCTTTTCTCCATCTGCAGAGTGCCTGCTGCCAACTGTAGGCTAGTGAGGCCTCTCCTGGGACGTTGGCTGCTGTTTGCATGTGGGCGTGGAGCTGGAGCCCTCTCTCACCTCCAGCTTGTTCGTGTTCTCCTCCTTGTTGCTAACGGCCTCTCCCTTTGTCTCTGTCTCCTTTATCTCTACTCTTGGGTAGCTGACAGTAGGGAAAGTATCCAGCGGAATAGGGGCTGCAGCTGAAGTTCTGGTCAATCTGTACTTGAATGATCACAGACCTAAGACTCAGGCCACCTCTCCAGACTTGGTAAGGATGTGCACCCTTCCACCTTCACCCACAGACACCGACTCTGGCCTCCCAGGGAGGGTGCCTGGGATGCGGAGAGGATAGCCTGGCCCCTTTCTCATGGGACAAGAGGGGCTGAGAACAGGCCGGGTCAGAGCAGAGGTTAGTGGGGGGCTGTGTTTCCTTGTAGACGAACCTCAGTTGGCCCCCTTGTGGGTCATTTCAGAAAGCAGAGCATCTTCCCTTGTAGCTGGGGCTCTGGAGAACTCAGGGGAAAGCTCAGGGGAGGCCATCTACAGAGATGGACAACCGTTACTACCAATGTTTAGCATCCAGTATAGATTGGATTAAGAAGTAATGGGGGAAACATCCCTTTCCTCTGAATCCTCTCCTTCTCCAGATGACTCTGCTCACTGTCACCACCAACAGTTTGAGTTGAGAGTTCTTTTGGTGTCCTTTTGGCACACTCCCCTGGAATCACCCAGGGGTGCCCCTCCTGTCCTGGGCCTCCCCCTCCCCTTTTGCATTGAAGAAGTTGATTGGCAGCCTCATGCCCGTTTCCTGCAGTTCTCCGGAACAGTTTTGATGCCATGAGCCTTCCCTGCCTGACCTGTTTCACTGCAAGGGGACAAGGATGGATAAGACATTCTTTCAGTGACCTCACTCTAGACCCAGGCAACACTTAACCCCTGACTCAGATTCCTGGAGATGGCATCTCTGGGCAGGCATGTTTGTAAGGGACACCTGCTCTGTCAGACCAGGAAATGTCACTCCCACCATGAAACCAGAGTGTCCAGCAGCCTGCCGGGGAGTACAGTCAACACTGCCCTGGCAGGGCTGGGCTCTGCGTACCTTCCCACCCTCACTCTTTGCAGCAGCACCCCCAGTGACAAAAGCAGCACGTAGCCTGTGAGGCCCTACAAGGCAGGCTGGCATCTCTACACGCCCGGCCTTGCATTTGAAGATGCGGTGTACACCCTAACACGCTGCTCTTCTTTTCCGATGCCGTGTGCCTGCCAGGAGTCCGTACGGAAGACGTTTCCCCTGAACGTGGGTGGCAGCGACACCTGTTACTTCTGCAAGAAGCGCGTGTATGTCATGGAGCGGCTGAGCGCGGAGGGCCACTTCTTCCACCGGGAGTGTTTCCGCTGCAGCATCTGTGCCACCACCTTGCGCCTGGCCGCCTATGCCTTTGATGTTGACGAAGGTAACCCCCAGGGGCCAGGGCAGCTCTTGTGTCTGGCCTGGGCCTCTTGACTCTGGAGGCTCTGGGACAGCCAGCCTGTCATCAGGAAAGCAGTTCAGGGAGCAGGGATCCCCTGCTAAGGGGAGAGGCTGCCTTTGGTGGGCAGGGGCCTGAGGAAAGGGGAGCGGTCAGCATGGGGGGTGCACATGTGTAGGGAGCACCTCCCAGGTGCCACGTGCTTTATGGACATTTTCTTACTCAGTCTCACCGCCTTCAGTTGCCCCTGTGTGGTCAAGAAAATCAAACCTGACAACTTATGTCACATACTTGGCACCACACCTGACATGTAATAGGGGTTCAATTTGTTGTTATTTGATTGCTAAGTCATGTCCAACTCTTCGCGACCCCATGGACTGCAGTACACCAGGCTTCCCTGTACTTCACCATCTCCCAGAGTTTGCTCAAACTCATGTCCATTGAGTCAGTGACGCCATCCAACCATCTCATCCTCTGTTGCCCCCTTCTCCTGCCCTCCATCTTTCCCAGCATCAGGGTCTTTTCCAGTGAAAAGTGGGGGGGGGGGCGCCGGGGGGTTCAATAAATGACATCATATTCATGTTATTATCAATGAAGCGTGTATTGTAAGAATGACCATAACTGTAATATGCCCTCTGCTGAGTGTCCTACCAGAGTCATCAATGAAGGAATTGCACTCATTGGAATAAGTGATTAATTTCTAACCTTCAGTACTTGATGTTTGCACCATCATATAATGACGAAGCTTGTGATTCCACACTCTAAAACTAACTGCCTGTGCTTACATCCAGAGTATGCCACTTCCAGCATATGGCATATGTATGCCACATACATATAACCTCTTACCTGACCTCTGGGTCCCTCAGTTCAGTCAGTCCAGTCGCTCAGTTGTGTCCGACTCTTTGCGACCCCATGAACCGCAGCACGCCAGGCCTCCCTGTCCATCATCAGCTCCCAGAGTTCACCCAAACCCATGTCCATTGAGTCAGTGATGCCATCCAGCCATCTCATCCTCTGTCGTCCCCTTCACCTCCTGCCCTCAATCTTTCCCAGCATCAGGGTCTTTTCAAATGAGTCACCTCTTCGCATCAGGTGGCCAAAGTATTGGAGTTTCAGCTTCAACATCAGTACCTCCAATGAACACCCAGGACTGATCTCCTTTAGAATGGACTGGTTGGATCTCCTTGCAGTCCAAGGGACTCTCAAGAGTCTTTTCCAACACCATAGTTCAAAAGCATCAGTTCTTCAATGCTCAGCTTTCTTTATAGTCCAACTCTCACATCCATACATGAGTACTGGGAAAACCATAGCCTTGACTAGACGGATCTTTGTGGACAAAGTAGTCTCTGCTTTTTAATATGCTGTCTAAGTTGGTCATAACTTTCCTTCCAGGGAGTAAGCGTCTTTTAATTTCAGTTTTCTTATTTATAAAATGAGGATAATAGTACTTTGCTCGTAAGGTGATCACTGATTTAACTCAGGGGAAGGATTTAAGATAGCGCCCGGTATATTGAGTCCTACTCAAGACTTCACTATTATATCATTATTCCCATCCCTGTTGTCACTGTTGATAGAGTGAGCAAAAAAGGGTTTTCTGGAAGGCATCCAGTATCCTGGGCAGTGGCCAGTGGCCCAGTGTGTGGCTCACTGGGTTTTTCTGCCACCATCTGCTCAGTGCTGTTCCCACCCCCAGGGGTCCCAGAAGCAAGAGGAACTACAAACAGAGTTGCTATTCCAGGCTGTCCATTTTGCTGCCTGGCAACTGGCCTTGGGAAGAAACTTGGCCTCAGGGATTATCTGAGGGCTTCTGCCCCATTCCCGGGAGCATTCTCTCCGGTCCCCCGCCACTGTTGTTGTGGCTGGTGGCCTCCTCTCAGCACCCCTTCTTTAAGGAAGGTGGCGGAAAGCGTTTCCCATCTTTGCACCTAGGCTTGTTTCCCCTAGCGGTGTTTCTCTGACCTAGATGGGGGCAGGCACTCGGCTCAGGTTCTGCTGTGGCTCTGGTTTACAGGAGAAAAACCTCTGAGCATCTGTTTCTTTTTACAGGCAAGTTTTTCTGCAAGTCTCATTTCATTCACTGTAAGACCAACAGCCAGCAACGGAAGAGACGGGCAGAGTTGAAGCAACAAAGAGAGGTAAGTTTTATCTCGAAAGTGGTGGTGAAATGGGAAAGTTCCCTGGTAGGAGGAGGTTGTCAAGAGGTCCTGCAGGCTAGGCCAATGTTTCTAGCTTTGGGTGGGCTTGAGACTCAGGGGAAGAGGACTCTGCTCCCTGGCAGAAACGTCCCTGTGTCTCAGTCCATTCATCTGGCCTCTGGGGCGTGAGCTGTTCCAGATGCCAGCTCCCAGGGCAATGACTGCTGCTTCTCATGAGAAGCCCAGAAGAGCTTTCCCATGTGCCAAGGATGGGGCTAAATGCTTAGCCATGCAAAAGCCACGTAGCCCCCAGGGCCTGGGGCCCACATGGCCACAGAGCCCTGTGAGCAGGGATGCCTGGTATAGGGCCAACCCCCTGTGGTTTCCAAGTCCTTTCCCCAAGCTCTTGGAGTCAACAACATGACTGGCCTGTTTAATTTGCAGATGGCTTGTGATAGCACCCTCCCTACCCCCACCCATGGTAGCTCTTAGCCAGCATCTTCTTTATGGCTTGATTAATCATCCACCTCCAGCAAGACCAACAACTTCAGCTTTTTTCTGATTTCACAAGTAATATGAGCTTCCCAGGTGGCTTAAGTGGTAAAGAATCCGCCTGTCATTGCAGGAGATGCAGGTTCGATCCCTAGGTTAGAAAGATCCCCTGGAGGAGGAAATGGCAACCCACTCCCATATTCTTGCCTGGAATGTCCCATAGACAGAGAAGCCTGGCAGGCTACAGACCATGGGGTCGCAAAGAGTTGTACACAGCTGAGCAACTGGGCACACACAGATACACACACAGGTACACACACACACAATAGAAAAATGGCTAAGTAAATGAAAGTCTATAAAGAAGGAAAGTGAAATAACCCATCATCACTGTATCCTGAGAAAATCATAATTAACATTTTGGAACATTTCCTTGTAGACTTTTTCCTGTATGAATACTGTTGACCTTTGAACAGTGTGGGAGTTAGAGCCTTTGACTGTCTGCAGGTTCAAAACTTCATGTGTAATTTATAGCCAATCTTTCATATTGATGGTTCCTCCATATCCATAGATTCAGCCATCCATGGATTAGGTAGAGGTGTAGTATTCATTATTGAAAAATCTGCATTCAAGTGGACCCATGCAGTTCAAACTCACATTGTTCAAGGGTCAGCTGTATGTTTTAACCCAGTTGGAATCCTACCTGTGCCGTTTCATAGCCTTCTTTATTCAATAACAGTATATTAAGAACAGTTTCCCATTAAGAATTCTTTTGGAGCCTAATTTTTGATATCTGTAAAAGATGACTGATAATTTATTTGCATCCTATATTGTTGGACATTACTATTTTTGCCTTATAAACATTTTACAGGGAATGTCTTTGTACCTGTATCATTATCCATATTTTAAATTGTTACTTAGGATCAATCAAAAGAATGAGATTACTGAGTCAAAGGGCATGTATGTTTTGAAGGCTCCAGAGGAAAGTGATGCTGTGATCAGTTCCCACCCCCACCACAGGAAAGTCACACCCATGTTCAGCCCCCTTCAGCAGTGCACAGGGGGTGCTGAGATTTTGGGGAGGGGTCCTGGTTGCAAATTGTAGGGTCTGCCAGGTCCTCCCTTTGTTGAGTCTCGCTCTGCTTCACTGGAGGAGCCCTCTCTGAGCATCATGGACTGATTGCCCTCACCTTGATCTCTTTCTCAGGAGGAGGGGATGTGGAAAGAGCAGGAAGCCCCTCGGCTAGACCCTCCCGCGGACAGTTCTTGCGCCGCCGCCGCCATCGCCACACCGGAAGGCAGCCCCCCAGGTATCCCCAATTCCTTCCTTAGGAAGGCGCTAAGCTGGCCCCTCAGGCTGCCGTGGGGCCTGCTTCACCTTCCCCGGAGGCTGCTTAACTGGATTCAGGGACTCCTGCGCGCCACCAGCCTGCATATCAGGGACAATGCTTACAACTACTGCTACACCTACGAGCTCCTGAGCCTCGGGCTGCCCCTGCTCTGGGTGTTCTCCGAGGTCCTGGCTTCCATGTACCGGGAGTCGGAGGAGTCCCTCCAAAGCATCCGCGACTGGCTACTCAGATGCGTCCCGGCCAAGCTGCACTGAAGCCCAGTCCCACAGTACCGTAACATTTCCCGCGTAGATGGCGGCGTGTGCGGCCGGCTCAGGCGCTGGCCAGGGAGCCCCACGCCCTTGAACCAGTTAGCTCAAAGCCAAAGAATTTCCCGTCGGCCACCTGCACCTAGCCTGGTCGCGGTGAACATCTGCTTCAGGCCACCATGACATGAAGGATGTTTTTTTTTTTAATAGCTTTGTACTTTTATACCAAAGCGAGCCATACTTCTAGGTTTACATTTCAATTTTTAACGTTTAATAAGCCAAGAGAAAGCATTTTTTTTTTCCTATGAGTGTCAGTTTTTGTAAACACGGGTTTGAGGTTTATAACTGGTATTACAAAAACCCCTTCCACGTTGTGGTCTTGAAATAGCCGCTCCCTGTAACGTGAATAATTTGAACTCTTAAGTAAACCAAAGAGAGCGTGCGATCTCCTGACAGTGCCTTCTGATTTTTGTGCCTGTATACCACTTGTCAACAAGGGACAATTGTTTGCAACATGAAAGCATAGTAATTTAGAAGAAAAAACAAAACAAAACAGAAAGGATGAAAGAGAATTAAATCGACAGAAGGATATGGCAATATATAGTTGCCTGTTACCTGTCCTCCCAGGGAGAAGGACTATTTTGCTCCCTTGTTCTGATGTAAAATAGTAGCTTCAAGATTCCCCTGACCCCAATACCAAACTGCAGCTAGATTATGTAGAACCACAGGGTTTCAAGTGAATTACTGCAGACATACATTTTCCCTTCCCACTAATGAGCATGGCAGCCAAAGCCTGTTGGCCCCGGGCCACTCAGAACTCCATCAAACTGATGCAATCCTGAAGAGGAGTCGTGTCAGCTGGTGGCATTTTAAGCCCTCCTTTTGAGGTCCCCAATCCAGGTTGCAGTCTGAGCCAAGGCCATTCAGGGTCCACAACAGTCAGGCTGAGGGAGGAAACTGCCCTCTCATGCTGTGTCCTTTGGGACGGAGGGTGTTTGTTGCACCTGACAGTATTATTTCTGGAAAGCGTGATCTCACCCGTGAGCATGGCCTGCAGGCATTCTGGCTTCTTAGCCAATCGGCTGCCATGCATATTTGGTCAAACGGTCAGAAACCATTGATTATTGAATTGTCCCAGCCAAGGAATGCATCTGATCCAGGGGGAAGCTCCCATGTCTTGACTAGCAGAGGAGGCTGGGAATGGACACTGTTATTGACTTATGCATAAGAAATATACCTTATTAAGGGCAAAACAGGCCTTGGGCCCACCATATTCTTCATTCTGGGCATCTGGAGGAGGCCTCAGCCTTCCCAGCTCCACTCTGCCTGGACATGCACAGCTGCTGAGTCTGGCTGAACAGTGGAGATGGCTGATAAAGAAAAACCTTCCGCAGAGTTCAGTGTATCTAGAGTTGCTGGGCCTTGCCTGTTACACTAGAAAGATCCTCTAGATTAAGAAAGGATGGAGTCTGGTGGGTTAGGAGCCAGAACCCTTAAGGGCTTTGAGATGCCAAGTTCTCCAGGCTGGGAAGAAGCAGGGAGGCATTTCTATAATATAAACACTTCCCTGAGTCCTTGGGTAAATCAGGGGCCTGACTGCAGCCAAGTCCGTGGGAATTGGCGCCTCTGTCTCTGTTGGAACTGTTCTTGTCCTATGACTTGCATTGTGTTTTTCCAAATTTTTGCTGGTATTTTAGTGTTCTCTGGTGGGAGGAGCCCTTGATTCGTTTCATGTTTGATTCTGAAAGTCACTATGTAAACACATCACAGCTGTGTCATTGTTATTCCCGTCAGCTCAGGGCAGGATGAGATGCTTTGTGGGATGCTCCATGAAGCTGGAGTTAGGATCTCTGAGAATGTCACTTATGGCCATAAGGAGACTGGTTTGAATTACTCTGGTGAGACAGGGCGTGCCTGTCAGAAGCCTGAGATGTTTGTATGTTCTGAGACGTTGAACCTTCCTGGAGGGGCAGCAGCAAAACACAAAAGTAAGTCCTGGGAGTGGGATGTTTCTAAACCTCCATAACCTATTTGAGAATGAATATGGAACACTATAGAGTAAAATCGGGGCAGAGAGGATGTGGGGGGCAGTGGAGACAGGGGGTTATTTCCAACTCTTGCAGATAAGTCACCGCTCACTTCCAGAAAGGTTCATCTGTCCTAAGCAAGCCATAACTTGTTTGGGGGAGTTGCTCTTTTTTTTAATGGTTGCCTCGTTTTCAACTCCCGTACCTTTTCGTATTGTCCAGCATTTTCCTTGTTCCCCCAACTAAATTCTCTCTTCTGTGTCTCTCTCTCTCCAAACCTTACACTGTGGCCATCAGTTCATTTCAGCCTTCCAGTGCTGCACCCACTTCTTGGCTGACACACTTCTGCTCTGAGGTGACTGGTTTTCTTGCCAATTTTCAGAGAGTGGTACTAACCCCTGACCTGCTTTCTGCGCCCCGTCTCGCCGCCCCCCCCCCCCCCCCCCCCCCCCCCCCCCCCCCCCCCCCCCCCCCCCCCGCCCCCCGCCGTGGCCTTGGTTGTGCTAACTGCGAGCGTCTTGCCTACTAATGGACTCATTCATTCGGTGGCATGGTTGGTGAACAATGTGGGGTGGTGTTCAGCTCGAAAGCGTTTCTGATTCCATCCCTCTGAGCAGGCTGCCCAGCCCACTCCAGGTGCATGGCCCGCCTCCTCGCTACACTCCGCGGCCTGCGTGCATGCTTTTCTGGTTGCACTTACAAAGCTACTTACCTTCCTGGGAGGGTTAACCTGGAATATAAGACTGTGCCATAGAGAGGGCCCTTCACCTTTGAAAAGAACTCTTTCATCTCTCAGCCTCTGAAAAAGCATATGCATACAAGCATCTTCTTCAGTTGCTTTCTAATATAAAGGTTATCAATCTGCACCATAGGTGACTCTTTTTGGAAGGATTTAAAAAAAAAAAATTTCTCCCAGGCTTCATCACAAGCTTGACGAGACTCTCTGTTTTGAACACACGATCACAATTTTTCTAGTGAATCTTTCCTCCCCAGCAGCCTATACCTTCCCTCCCAGGGTTTTGCTTTGACTCTTCTGGTCTCTAGGCTCATAAAGCCCCAGAGGATACAGAAGCTTCAGCTAGAGCAGTCACTGTCACAGGCCAGGAGTGCCTTAGAGAGCAGCTCCCTTTCAATGCCCCCACAGCTCTGCTCAGAACACGTCCCCCTGCTGACTCTGCCTGGAGCAGCAGGACACTCACAGTGCTTTTAAAGAGAAACACCACACCTAGTCCAGTGGGGCTGTTGAAGGCAGGCCTCGCAGTCCCGGGCTGCAGGTGATGGTGTCCTGCATGTGGCCCAGAGCCATGCTGACCTCTCTGCACAGCCCTGCATGCTGCATTTTGCTCCCTCGTTGGTGCAGATCCCCGCCAGGATGAAGTCACTGTTCTTATCTTATCTTCTCTTGCAGAGTCTCCCCCCTTTATAGAATGTCAACCAAAGAGTGCCCTCCTCCCCCCAGCCTCCTCCTTAGCTAGCCTCCCCCACCTGTCACCATGCATGTTTGTGACCTTTGGTAGTCATTACAGTGCCACGTGGAACCCTGTATTTTGCACACAGCGAACAATGTTTAGCTTTATTTATGGTATTTGATGCTGTACATGGAAATAAATACGGTTCTTTATAAAGCTCATTGTTTCCTCTCTTCTTTGCCGTGGAAGCTGCTCAAACCTCAAACACAGGGGTTGGTTGAAGGGGCTGGCCTTTCATGAACTGGCGGGCCTTGCACTTGTGGTGACATGGAGCTCTCTGGGGCTGTGCTGGGTACTCTCAGAGGAAATATTACCTGGGGGTAATATTTGGAAAATATCACCCATGCTCCGCAGCTAGGCTTTGGGGGCTCTTCCTTGAAAACTCATGGTACTTTTCTGCCGTAGGTGCTGGGCATTGTTGGCTGAGGGTCAGGGTGCCCTCAGCTATAAGGAACAGACTGTACTGACAACTGCTTGCACCCATTTCCTGCACGCGTCCAAGCTGTGGACCTGTGAGAGAACTTTACTTAGGAACCTTACTCTAACTTAGGTTCCCAGGCAACAGAGGTTGCTCTTGAAAGTTTTGTGCTGGCCCAGCTGAGTGATGGGTATAAGGTTAGAGGAAGGACTGGACTTTGGTTTCAGGATGGCAATGAACATGGCAGGTGTATTTATCCATGGAGGAGAGCCGTTTGGGCTGCTAAGAGGCCAACTTTGCCCTCAAAGGCTCAGGTCACTCAGTTTCTTGGCTGCAAGGCTCTGCCCACAGGGCCACTCTGAGGACATTTCCAAGGCAGGCTCTGGCTCAGTTCCACTAATCTTTAAGGGAGGGATTTGAAGTTTTACTCAACTAGTCTGGACAGTGTCAAAGAAATCTGGTCCCCCACCACCCTAGGGTGGATGCCTTTCTTGGCCAGGCTGGATGTGCTTGGCTTCTGACACTGGCATGTAAACTCATCTATTTACTTCACGAGGGCCCTTGTATCTCTGAAGGGGCACTTTCAAGGCCCTGGGCCTCTGAGCCCAGTTGCTGGTGCCTGGAGCTGCCTGGCATCATGACCAAGTGTTGTTACTTTTACCCAGGTGAGATACTCTTTCTGTTCCCTAAAAGGAAGGGTATTAGGGACTGAAGTCAGGAGCTGGGTTGGACAAGTGACTTATTCTTTTATGCATTCATCTATTCACGTGTTCACTGAATGCCTGCCATGCCCTAG